CCATTTGACCCGAACAGGTCAGGGAAAGGTCATTTCAAGGTCAAAATGAGAAAAAACACTTAAGCGGAGACAACTATTATCACTATACGTTTTTCGGGTCACCGAGTACGAATCTGGGGTCTGTTTGACCCCATCATGTCAGGGTCAAGGTCTTTTAAGGTCAACATGAGAAGAAGAAAAACACCAAAGTAGAGTCAATCAACGATCTTGATCTTAAACTTATAGGGTCAAACCCCAGAATTTGCGACCCCAAAACGTATTTTTAGGATGTGTAAAAACAAATTTTGACATTGTTGTTTCCTTGTGTTTTTTTTTGTTTTGTCCTTGAAGTGACCTTTATTCTAATCTGATAGGACCAAACAGAATCAGAAGCACTTAATATGTTTGAGTCATTTAAAACTACTAACTACAGCAGCGATGATGATTCGGATTAGCTTAATAGTTTTGAATGGTTGTTATAGGTTTTGTTCTTGTAGTTATTGTATTTCGTCGGCTTAAGATGCAAATTGCGTAACTCCAGTTTTTTTCGAAAATTTATTTTATTGCTTATCCGGTAGCTAAAGGTCTATTTTGTCGGTTTTGGTCTCTTCCCTAAAAAAAAATTGTGAGTTAGGCCATTTTCATCTTAAGTCGACGATTTGATGCATTTATTAGTTTATAATAAAGTGTATTTTGTTTCCTTTACATTTGTAATTAAATCTTTTGCTACAAAATCTCTCGAAGTAACATTTGTTAAAAAGTTAGTTTGTTTACTTAAAAAAAATAGTCTTAAATTTTTGGTAAATAACTTTGAAAGTGCATAAATTTTCAGTAAAAATGAGCAGTATTAAATAACCTACATTCTTTTATAATAGTTTAATTTTACATAACAAAAATAAATAATTTAATGCCACTATAGTATACTAAATATGCTCATTTTCTAAAACACCCTTTATAATTAAGTTTCTACTCATCCAATTTATTTATTTTATATATTTTAATCAAAATTAGCTTTTTTAACTTATTTATACCAATTTCTACAAGAAAAATAATTTTTCAATAAAATAAGGGTACGCTGGCCCACTGTGCGCCGGAATTCCGGCCGGATCGGGATCTAAATTTAAAATGTATGTGTATGCCTATTTTTATACGTAAAACATTGAAAATATTGAGGCTGATTTATTTTTACTTTTTTTTAAACTAGCTACAGTATGCAGAGTGTTTATTACTATTAATTTTACCTAGATAGAAATTACTGTTTATTTAAATATTAATTTTTAATTAGCGTTAACAAAATTAAAACAATTCTACTCATTCAATTGGAGAATAGCAGCCTATTTTCAGAAATTGGTAATATATACAGTTGTAGGCTAAACTCTGAAAATGCCGAAAAGCTCTTATTTATTCACCATAATCTAAATAAAATAAATTATGAATACTAATTTTTCATGTAAACTGTATACTTATCTTATAAGACTTATTCATGACAGGGAATTTGGCTGTTATTTTTGCTGTTAGAATTTGGCTGTTAATAATGTTTTCAGTTATTATTTATGTTTTGTAATTTTTGGAAAGAAAATATATTTTGTTCAAAAAAAAAATATTTGTGAATAATTAACGGCTTAACAATAAGTAGGCACCAATTAAAAAAAACCTTAAAATAATTTTCCTTATTTTTGCATATATTTGAATTTAAATTATATTAAAAATTAAAAAATTAAACATTTCCAAAAAAATTCGAAAATTCCGGCCGGAAAGCGATCCGGCCGGAGCGATCCGGCCGGAGCGATCCGGCCGGAACGGTAGTTCCGGCCAACTGGCCGGATCGGCCGGATTTAGTGGTACCGCCGGAATTCCGGTGCATCCCTAGTTATTGGTTTAAATTTGTAAAAAGTAATTTAAATGATCGATAAATTTCTAATTCAAAAATTACCACTTTAAAATTTTAAACTAACATTTAAATGTTATGTGAGAATTTTTGTACTAAAAAATGATGGACTATCATTTAAATGACTTTACAAATTTAAACTACAAAATTTGTGGAATACATCATTTTGACTTAAACTTTTACATTTGCATTTTATATTTAAAATATTTATTATCAATTGTTTTAAGTTTAAAAAAAAAATACTTTTTAAAATATTTTGTTTAAAAGTTTGACCCATTTGTTTGCGACTCACCCCTGTAAAATCTTTATTTATTGTGCGATTTTAACCGGATTTGTTTTAAAGTGTTAAACTTTATTTTTGGAGCAAAAAACGCCATATTTGTACAAAATACAAGGCCTACTATGTCAGTTTTTAAGAGTAAATTTTTAAGAATTCATATTAGCGATTTTTTTAAACAAAATCTAAGCATGGCACTGGATTCACCACCCCTCAAAACGACGCTTTACTAAATTTTATTGAAAAATTTTAAGTTGAAAAATGCACAATAATAACTACAAAAATTTATTCAGTCAAGTTATCCATGAAAAAAACATTGAATTAAAATTAAACTTACAGTAATTGTACCATGTTACTATTAGTTTAATTTTATTTCAATGTTTTTTTTTCATGGATAACTTGACAGAATAAATTTGTGTAGTTATTATTGTGCATTTTCTACTTAAAATTTTTCAATATAATTTAGTTTATATAAATTCTTAAAAATTTACTCTTAAAAGCTGACATAGTAGGCTTTGTATTTTGTACAAATATGGAGTTTTTGCTCCAAAAGTACAGTTTATCAAGACCTACACTTTAAAACAAATTCGGTAAAAATCTTACAATAAATAAAAATTTTACAGGGGTGAGTCGCAAACAAATTGGTCACACTGTGATTTTATTTGAAATGTCTCGACACTATTTTTAAATCCTAAAAGATTTACAAAATTCTGTCTAAATAAATTAAGAGAAATTGTTTTTATTAAAAAGTGATGGATACAAATTTTTGCAAAAATTGATAGGACATAATGTTGTTTAATACAGAATTGAACTGTTAGTTTGGAAAATTTTAAATTAAAAAATTACTTAATAAATAATAAAACGGCGTGCCATACATAGTCCAAAAACAATCCTATATTAAAAACTTAAAAAGACTTGTGCTGTTTAAACCTAATGATTTGTTATAAAAATATCCTATTTTCAATGGCATAGGTACCTATACTAAATTAACGATTACTACCTAAAAATGTTATTTTAAAATATAAGTGTACGTAAAAAACAATTTGGACTCCGCCTGTTTTTGTATAAAGCGCCTCAATTATAAAATTGTAAAATAGTATCTACATATTTTCTAATAGTATATTATAGACCAAATCGTTTTTGTTAAAAATAATAATTTTATAACAAAATATTTCGCGTGAATTTGTAAAAGTACGCGAAATTTTTCATTGAGAACCTTCACAGAACGCACCGTACGTTTTGTGTAAGAAAAGTGTTTCTCTACGACTACTTAAGAATAGTAACATTCTAGTGTAATTTTTGATCATAGAAGGGATGATTTTCTGCAATACTGTGCGAGAATATTCCTACTCTTGTTTAAGAATGGTCACAAGTAACGACATCTCCTGGCTGTTTACTAAACGTAAAAAAATTAAAAATATTTAAATATTACTGTATTATTTATTAATTAAAAAATAATAGCAGTTGTATAATTAAGGTTTAGGCACAAAAAATTAGTTATATTTATTGTTTTTCAAATATACAAATCAAAATTATAATAAATTTGATATTAAAATGATAAACCAGTTACCTACTATACCGGCTTTGAAGTTTTGACAGATTCAAAAAGTTAAAAAAAAGACCTTTAAAATGTAGAAAAAGAATAGATGTTGACATAGATTACTTGTAAAATTAGTTTTGTATTTGTTACAATGTTATTTTTTTTATTAGTTAGTGTAAATAACTATTTTTAATTATAATAAAGATTTAGGCATACCATTCGTTTAAATTTATTATAATTTACATTATAAAATTGTGACAGCACAAAATGGTTTGACAATACAAAAACTTAAATGTCAAAAACTGCTTGGTTTCTTTTCTCTGTTTAAAATTATACAGCGTTACTATTCTTACGTAGTCGAAGAGAAAATAATGTCTGAAACACGTTTGGAATAGCATATTCCACTCTCGTAAAACCGTCACACTCGCCTTCGGCTCGTGTGTCAAATTTTTCCTCGAGCGGAATATGCTGTATTCCAAACTTGTTACAGAATGTACTATTCTCTACGACTACTTAAGAATAGTAACATTCTAGTGTAATTTTTGATCATAGAAAGGATGTTTTTCTGCAATACTGTGCGAGAATATTCCTACTCTTGTTTAAGAATGGTCACAAGTAACGACATCTCCTGGCTGTTTACTAAACGTAAAAAATTTAAAAATATTTAAATATTACTGTATTATTTATTATTTAAAATTAATAGCAGTTGTATAATTAAGGTTTAGGCACAAAAAATTAGTTATATTTATTGTTTTTCACATAATCAAATCAAAATTATAATAAATTTGATATTAAAATGATAAACCAGTTACCCACTATACCGGCTTTGAAGTTTTGACAGATTCAAAAAGTTTAAAAAAAGACCTTTAAAATGTAGAAAAAGAATGGATGTTGACATAGATTACTTGTAAAATTAGTTTTGTATTTGTTACAATGTTATTTTTTTTATTAGTTAGTGTAAATAACTATTTTTAATTATAATAAAGATTTAGGCATACCATTTGTTTAAATTTATTATAATTTACATTATAAAATTGTGACGGCACAAAATGGTTTGACAATACAAAAAACTTAAATGTCAAAAACTGCTTGGTTTCTTTTCTCTGTTTAAAATTATATAAGCGTTACTATTCTTACGTAGTCGTAGAGAAAATAATGTCTGAAACACGTTTGGAATAGCATATTCCACTCTCGTAAAACCGTCACACTCGCCTTCGGCTCGTGTGTCAAATTTTTCCTCGAGCGCAACATGCTGTATTCCAAACTTGTTACAGAATGCACTATTATTCTAAACACTTTTGTCTTTTTTTTTTCAGACTTGGCGAGTCTGAAGGTTCGTACTGCACGTTAGCCACGTTTCCGTCTGAGACGTCGTCGCTGGCCTCGTCGTTGGCCTCGTCTTTGGGCGGCTCGTCGTCGGCGAGCAGCGAGTCGGCCGGCTCGACGCCGACGCACTCGCCGCCATCGACGCCGCACACCACCCACCAGGACAAGATCACGTCGCCCATGCAGACGACGGCCAAAAAAGTACAAAACAACAAGCAACTGGCGTCGTCGCACCCGAACCAGAGGTTCGCCTCCTCGATGGAGTACTACCACACGGTAAGAAAGGTTTTTTTTTTTGAAAAAATACCACTTTCAGGGTTCCCCTTTTATCATAAAAATTTTAAATATCATAAAATTGGTTAAATTGTCCTAAAATGTCATAAAGTTCACATTTTGTCATAGAAATGCTTTTTTATAAAATGGAAATTTTGTAAAATAAAATTTAAAGCCGGTCCTGTAGAATTAAACGCAATAAAATGTTTAAAATACGGCCTTGGTTTTGACGTATGAGCTTTATACTTTGAAGGAAGAAGAAGAAGACTTATTAAGTTGGGTTAGGAAATTCATTTTAAATTTTAAAATTTGAAATAAACAGTGAGAATAGTAAAGCTATTCGTTACTTTATGAAAGGAAGGCAGCTAAATATTTTAAAAAGTAAATAGGTGAGTAACTGGATATACATTGTGACCCATTTGTTTGCGACTCACCCCTGTAAAATCTTTATTTATTGTGTTTTAAAGTGTAAATCTTGATAAACTGTATGTTTGGAGCAAAAACGCAATATTTGTACAAAATACAAAGCCTACTATGTCAGTTTTTAAGAGTAAATTTTTAAGAATTCATATTAGCGATATTTTTAAACAAAATCTAAAGCGGCCCTCACACGATCATTATTACTGACAGTATTGATTACTGACAGTATTTCATCAGTATTTTTAGTTTCACCTCACACAGTCAGTATTTATATTAATATTCAGTTTCATAGTTCAATTGTTCCTAGAATTATCTTTCTGTGGCCGTCTTTCTGTACTTCATTTCATAAATAATGGACAAAAAACATAAGGCTTGCTTGCATTGCAATTATTTTATTAAATTGTACGTGTAAAGGATCGTAAAAAGAAAAAGAGACGTTGGGTGAAAAATTGGATAGCTAAACGTAAAATATTTACCCATTTAAATTTATTAAATTACATTAAGGATACGGATCCAGAGGATTACAGAAACTATTTTCGAATGAGCAGTGATGTATACTCTGAGCTTCTGAATATGTTAAAGCCGTATATCACTAAACAAAACACAAACATGAGGCAAGCAATATCAGCAAACGGAAGGCTAGCGGTAACATCATCAATAGTTGCCCTGGGTTTTGATTGAACATAAATTTTTTGTAACGTTTCATAACCTCGATTTTTTTGTCCCTATCCGAATATTCTTTTAATGTAATGTTCCACAATTCGGGCATTGCTCGATATGTATCAATAAATCGATTTTTTCGTCTCTTCTTGATCATTCCCTTCTGCGGATCCGGGTGATGACGGCATGGGCGACGTTGCTTCCATGGCTGCGATTCAAATACTGTTGCTATCGCACTCAAACGATCAATATTTTCATCAGTATTTTGGCTCCGCCCAAATACTTTCAGGATCCCGAAAGTATAATCAGTATGTTGATGGTCTATCAGTATTTGCCCTTACACAGTCAGTAATACTGTCAGTATTTCGAAATACTGTCAGTAAAATTGATCGTGTGAGGGCCGCTTAAGCACCGCACTGGATTTACCACCCCTCAAAACGACCCTATACTAAATTTTTTTGAAAAATTTTAATTAGAAAAATGCACAATAATAACTACAAAAATTTATTCCGTCAAGTTATCCATAAAAAAACATTGAAATAAAATTAAACTTATAGGTAGCAATAGTAGCATGTTACTATTAGTTTAATTTTATTTCAATGTTTGTTTCATGGATAACTTGACAGAATACATTTTTGTAGTTATTATTGTGCATTTTTCTACTTAAAATTTTTCAATAAAATTTAGTTTAGGTTCGTTTTAAGGGGTGGTGAATACAGTGCCGTGCATAGATTTTGTTTAAAAAAATCGATAATATGAATTTTTAAAAATTTACTCTTAAAAACTGACATAGGCCTTGTATTTTGTAAAAAAAAAGCGTTTTTTCTCAAAAAATTCAGTTTATCAAGATCTACACTTTAAAACAAATCCGGTTAAAATCGCACAATAAATAAAGATTTTACAGGGGTGAGCCGAAAACAAATGGGTCACACATAAACCGTTAAAAATTACATATTGTTGTTTATTAAAATAACTTTAGAAATAATAAATTTTTGTCATAAAAAGTGTCATAAAATCATAAAAAAGTACAAAACAATGATGGGAACCCTGCACTTTTTAAAACCGTCCAAAACTAAAAAATAAGGTTGCATAAGAATATTCAGCAATTTAGCAATTTTAAAACCATTTTAAATATTGTCAAACATGTTTTATAATGTTAAAAACATTTTAAAATTACCAACTTTAAAATGTCAACAAAAAAGTGACTTTGTCAAAGGATGTGTAAACATCTTGGAAATTTTGTAAATCTTCACCCATCTTCGTTTTCTACTCGTCAAACCCTTTCGTTTGATACCCATATTAAGAAGGTTATGAAGAAATAGGCAATACATCCTAAGGCGGCCGCCATATTGGATTGATTAATTAATTAAAATAAGAAAAAAATCCAACAAACATAGGTCGAGAAATGCTTCCTAACTTAGGAATCCTAAGGGAGCTACACAGAACAAACCATAGAACGCAATCTGTAATACTGTCAGCTGAAACCGTGTAACGCCATCTAGTTCGCACGTTGGCACTAAAGTTGACGGTTGATTCGAATGTGCAATTAAACTAAACAATTAAAAACACAGCAGGACCTCCCTTGATTCATATCTACAAAGACAAAACTATACTTTATTGAAAATCATCAAGAATTTATTAAAAACAAGCTCAATTACATAATTTTTACCGTTTAATATTATAGAAACCATAGATAAACTTTATAAACTATATAGTTTATATACACACCTATGTAACACAAAACAAAAATAACAGTGGTTGTCCATTACAAAATTTTATACGAACTATGTTACACAAAACAGTAAAAAATAAAAGTGGGTTATAATGAATTGCACATTACCGTAGATTTTAAAACTGAATTTGCTAGGGGGTCATTCCACGTTACTCGGGGATTTTTGTCCCGCCCGTCACAATTAAAAATTGTGAGTAAAAACTACACGTTATAAAATTTATTTAAAAATATTGTTTTATTATGCTTTTAATAAGTTATAAGCACAATAAAAATAATATAAAATATTAATTTTATAACTTGTGGTTTTTACCGAGTAACGTGGAATGCCCCTAGGTTCAGTCACAAAATTTGATAGATTAGGTCCCAGAACAATTATAATACGAATATTATTGATACTTTGGAACTAAACAACAAATTCCAACACAAGAAAAAACAAAATTACACAAGCACTAGAGAGAAACAAGTTATTTGCTTCTAACTACATGTGGCACCCCGATACTTTTAAACCTGGAACAGAGAGCCATGACCGATATTAACATTTACGAATTTTTTTGTATCCTTTTTAAATTTTTTATTTTTTTTCAGCAACAGCAGCAAAAGTACAGGAACCATTCGAATATGCATGGGGTTCCGTCGTCGCTTAGGGTGAAGCAATCACCAAGAGAGGTCAGTATTTATATTGAAAAAAATCATATTCTTTCTGTTTAAAAAATATATTTTTTGAGTTTACAGTAACATAAGGTTTGTCCCTAGATGGACATTTTTCTCGTTTATTTATTGTCAAAAAAAGAAAGTGACATTTTTTAACTGCGCATGCTTTGAAGGTACAATACAATGTACGGTAAAACGTCGTATCGAAATGTGCTTAATTTTTATTTTACTGTAAAGTCAATACATTTTTAAACAAAGGATGTTCTATCCATTTTAAATGCATTAAAAATATAACACAATATTTTTTTGTCGAGTGGTTAATATTGCGCCGATTGTTAATAATTATAATTATTGAACAATCTTATTCCTTCTCCTGTATATATTTTCATTCCCTCCCGCTAATCAGGTAAGAAATGTTCCATTCCCTCCCGCTACCATGACGACGCTACAATGTGATTGACTTGAAAATTAAATTAAACGTCATATTTGTAATTTAATTGCTATGATTCCACGCTCGGTAAACAATATACTACTTGACTGTTTTTACTGCATTTAAAAATGTTGTGTATTATGATTATGATAAAAAGCATGTTTATGGGGTAGATAAGTACAGAGTATGTATTTTTAAAAGGGGTAGATAATAGCTTTTGTAGTTTTTTTATTCCTAATACATTATGATGATACCGTGATGTCATGTAATTATAGTGCACAGCTAACATTTGTTGGGACTACTAAAATTGATCCAACAAATATTGACTAAGTTTATTTTCTGCAACTTAATTTACCTACAGAAAAAATATAAAACAATTATTACAGTAGGCGTATAAATATTTATTCGTGAATTAACGTAACGAAAAATACATAACATTAAAAAATTAAATATTAATAAAAAGGCTTTATCGTCATATAACACCAATAAACAGAAAACGAAACGTAAGAGCGCAATAAAAAATAAAAATAAAAAAACGCTAAAAAGCAAGAAATATGTCTGACTGAGGTTTATTTTCAATTGTCCTGGAGTTTATGTTCTGAGAATTTCATTAACATACATTAGATTTCCATTACCATACTGGTTGGTATACATTTAATTATTACGCAGCCGTATTGTTTCGAAATGTTTAAATTTAAATATCCAGTTCGGTTTTTAATCATTCATATCAAATTGGTATTAAACTTTGGGTTTTAATGCTAATAACACGAATTAGTACTGACCAGCAAATTTTAAATACTAAATATTTTTATCTTCTATTTTATTTTATATTTTTTAAAAATCGTTTTTAATCAATTTTATCTTGATATTCTGTTTTAAATCTTTGCACTTTCACTTTAAATGTTTTTATCTACTCCTACATTGACGAGCTGCGACTTTATGGCATTTTAGTCACGGGCTGAAGTTAGCAATATTGGCTTTTGGGCATTTCCCCTTTATTAAAATTAAATTTTGGTTTTAATCAAGAAGACTATAAAGAGGAGGAGTAACTTTTGAACACAAGAAAAATTGCGTGAGCAGGGGTGACGACGGCAGATGCGCAAACTGCTCACCGCGAATCATTTTATTTGACAGAACTAGATTAAAAAATGTGTTTAAAATTCATTAATAAAAATTTTGTTAAATGTTTAACTATAAAATTACAAATTGTTGTTAAAACTAAACATACATTTTCAAATTAAATTTGAATTAATTTACTATTTGCTATTTTGAACATAAAGTTTTAATTAAAAAAAACTATTTTGTCTTAATGCAAACCACACTCGTTATATTTATATTTTTCCTACGCCCCGCAAAATTTTTGTAGTTTGTTCGAATATGTAGTTGCATGTTGTTTTCTTGACAGAAAAAGACTGGTAGAGTATTTTTTTGGGTTGACTTTTTTGCATGCGTCGAAAAATTTCATTTTCAAAAATGTTCCTAATTTGGTCAACAGGGGGGACACATTGATAGACTGAAAGAAAACACCATCGATACACTTGCAATGATGGCCTAAGAGATGACATTTATCCGAACAAAAGTAATACACTTTTCATTTCATTTTTTTATTATTTATTGATGTCTTTCACATTTTTTTAAAATTAATCATTATTTCACGATCATAATCATTTGGCAACGCTGTTTTGAAAAAGTATGAAAGACATTGCAACCATGGATCATACAAGGAGACGTCACAATATGACGTCGAAAATTTGTCAAAAATTGGACACGCTAATTTTGTTGTTACGTATATAATGGTATTGGGATTGAAAAATAATGTTTGTGGGTTAATTAACCAATTTTATAAGTAAATAGAGCGATTTTCACAGCGGGTAATTTTATCATTACACGTTACTTGTATGATACATGAATAAGTACTGGAAAATTTTTATTTCACTGTATAATGAGGAGTCATTGTTTGTAGAGAAAATTCAATTGAATTTAACGAATTTGTTTGTTTAAGGTCAGGAACCTTGTTAAAAATATTTTAATTTTCGATTTATGAACGTGCGTTTATTTCGATTTAACTGCATTAAGAATCGTATTTCAAAATCTGTCCGTATGGGTAATATTTTTAAGATTACATGGGTAAAATATAATAAAATTATTGACATTTTCTGTACACAATAATTCATGCGTGGGGGAGTGGGTGGATTGCCTGGGTTATTCAATTTTCCAAGGATTAAAATCTAAATTGGTTTTGTGTGCATAGGTCTGACAATACCTGCCGCAGAATTTAATTATAAATAAATGAAACTATTTTGCTTTATTGATTTACTTAAAAAGTATCACTATAGCACAACTTAAACACTATTTCTTAAAAAGCAATTACTTGGTTATACACTGTGTATAAATTTTTTTGTATAGTATATTTTGATGAACTTTAAAACAAAAAGATTAAAAAATACGAGCTTAAAAAAAGTACTAGGAATATATATTATAATAAATAAAACAAACCATATTTAACCTGTCCCTACACCTGTCATGTGGGGATGGGCTTTACATCATTACACTAAACAAATAGGATTTTTATTGTATAAATTATATACAGTATAATCAATAATAATATACAGGATGCACTGAGCATCCTTCTGTTTATACATATATGCCCAAAAATGGGTACTCTATTGTTTTATAGATGCCTCTCTATAAAAATTCTAAATTTAAATAATTATTGGATAATATTAAGTAATTGTCGTAGAAAAAGTATAGTATGCAACTCGTTTATAACTTTTCTATACACTTATTTAATTAAGCACTCCCCCTCAAGCTCGCTCGTGCCAAATTAAAATTAGTGACTAAAATGGCGTTTAAATAATATACTATTTTCCAATACCATTGTCAAAAAGTCGACTTTTTTATCAACAAGTGACAAAAGTAGGCCAATTTTTGACGGCAACTTTTTTTATTTTTTTAAGTGTACAATAATTTTAATATTATAATTTAATATTATTTAATACTAGTTCAAAAGTTAAATTGAACTTAACCTAAAAATTATGTGACAGAACAAACAAATTATTGAGGGCGTAAATAAGTTTTAAAAAAGTTATGAAATGTCAAAAATATTTCTTTACTTTTAGCAATTATTTATAAAATTATTATGGTATTACAAAAATTAATGTATGCAAATCAAATATACAGTGACACTGTTTTGCACTATGAGGTTTTATATTCTGGTTGCATAAATTAATATTATCTTAAAATTAATTTATTTATTGTGAAAAATTTTTTTTGGACTAAATACATATTTTTCTCTTAACCATTAAAACAGGAAACTAGGAAACAAACAGCAGTTTTTAAAATATTTAAATAAAACTAAAAACCTGTCAAAACCAAAAATCTTTATAACTGTCTCTTTTTTTTTCTTCAATCTTTTAGTTGCATTTAAAATTTAAGATGAATATAAACTTTTTTGTAATGAAAAGAGGTATAATAAAATTTTACATAATAAATTTAAATAGCAATTAATAAGCAAAACATTTTCAATATTTATCATTGGCAATAATATTCAATAGTATTGGCACAGGCTAGGTTAGTTAGCTTAAATCATTCTTTAATTAAGGCTTTTGCTTAGGGTCCCTAAAAATGTAAATCCGGCCCTGCATAGAAGGATACTTGGTGCACCCTGTATGATATTAAAATGTGTCTGTAAAACAAGTAAAACACTTGCATATTATGCAAAATTGTTTAATATAGTTAATTACTTATGAATCATTAGATTTAGAAAAAGTCGGGAAAAAACCTGAGGGGGTGGAGACTTTGTGACAATATGTGTCAGGGGAGGAAAATCACCAAAAAATGTGTGACGTACTTTATTGACAATAGGGTGCTTCATTTTAGACCGACACCTGAAAATCTTGTAACATGTAAGAAAACAAAAATTTTGAGCTATTACAAAGCTCTTAATCTTTATTTTAAGTCGTTGCTATTCAATTTTTAAAAACCATTAAAAACAATGTTTTATTCTTTTCTCCTTCTGCTCGTAAAGTAAGAATATTTTTTTAGAATTTCGGTTCTAAAATCTTTATACAGGATGAAATTTTCTTCACAAATTGCCGTTCTTCTAAAATAGCAGTAAATCGTAATTGGAGACTAAACTATTGATTGTAGATAAAAACCGTAAATGACAATATTGTAGGGACTTTGTGGCATACAAATTTGATGAAAAATATTTTTCTGTATCACTTTAGCTGGTACAGCCACTCAAAGTGTGAAATTCTTAAAAATTCAGTTTCTGACGACTGTAATAACTATACTATTAGAGTTACGTGAAAGAGTGGCTGTACAAGCTAAACTATAAGTGATACAGAAAAATATTTCTTAACAAATTTGTAGGGCACAAAATTCCCTACAAAATTGTCATTTAGGTTTTTTATCTACAATCAATACTTAAGTCTCCAAATACGATTTACTGCTATTTTAGAAGATTTTCGAGTAGAACGGTAATTTGTAAAGAACATATTCAACTTACAGACTTGCTTAAATGGACATTGATAATTTCAACCTGTATAAATATTTTAAAACCGAAATTCAAAAAAAAAATTCTTACTGTACGAGCGGAAGGAGAAAAGAATATAAAATTGTTTTTTAATGGTTTTTAAAGGGAAATATTTAAAAATTGAATAGCAGGGGCTTCAAATAAAGATTAAGAGCTTAACATTTTTCTGACTGGTTAAAAGATTTTCCGGTAAGACTTAAAAAAAAAATGTCTCTCTTAAATGAAGCACCCTAATGGACAGCCCTAAAGTATAAAATCTAATTTTTCTTTTTTTTCTTGTTTCAGATGAACTTTAATTTTAACCAAAATCGTCCAATGTACAGGTGCGACGGCCCGCCCTACCCCCTGACCCCTGCATTTTATAGGAATATGAACTACAATAGGAATTACAAGAACATCGTGCGAGTATAAGGCATCCCCCCCCCCACCTAAACCTCTCTCAACCCCCACCCTCAAATGTATAAAAAGAAAAACAACCCACACACGTCCATTTTTTAGGATTAACGGTAGATGGTTATTACTTATGCCAAAAACTAACTGACTACTGCTTTTCTACTACTACTACTACAAAGTTTCAATTAATATTTAAAAAAAAATATATGTGACTTTTTCAATTGTCTTAGTTAATAAGAGTTTTATTTCTGTTGGTCTGGTGCTTACAAAAACAAGCCGGATTATTATTTTGGGTGCCTTTTCCGTATAAAAACAAACATAGACTTAAGTCATTATAACCGCAAACTACAAGCAATCAGTTTATTAATTATCCGTTAGATGTCGTGCAAAATGTAGTATTGTATATGTAGTGTAAGTTATTTTTTACTGTGATATAAATATTTTTTCCGTCATGACAAATAATGCCATTTTTTATCGTACCCCCCCCCTAATAAATAATTCGTGACGCAGCATTATCACCGATGACGTCATTCACTTAAACAAGCGAATAACGCCAACGGCAAAAATGTATTATAGTTTTTCCTAGGCCACGTTGCCGCCACATCGGACAAGATGCAGCAAAGCATAGATGCCGTATTTATATTTTGCTTCATTTGTCACGTTTCCTAATTATTAAATAATTCCGGTGTGGCGGGAACGATTGAATTGTTGCGTCGCAATTTTTTAGCTTTAAATTTTAGCACAAACTTCTAAGTCAATCGTTTTTTTGTCTCTCGCGCGTGTTATGAATTGTGACTGATTTTTTTACACAATGCCAAAAAAATGAATAAAAATTGGTTTTGTTTAGCGTTTTGATTGCGATGTCTAATTTTGTATATATTGCATTATTATATTGTATTAATTAATATTACGGTTGCTTCTGGTTTGTCTCACACTTCGATGATGGTACAAATCAATAATGAAAAAGTGAAATCGTCCAAAATATATGCATTTTTTAAACATTCATATCAGCAGTATTTCTCTTTGAATAAATGGAAAAAATTAGGATAAAATTTACATTTTATTCGCGCTTTTTTCGATAATGTACATATTTTTACATTTGTAGTGTATTAAGGTGTTAACTGCCATTTATGAGCGAAAAAACGCGGGGAAAACTTTAAGCGACCGCAAAACAAAAACTATTAAAGTTAACGCAATTTTGGTGTGTTGTTTGGAGTTGTATTCTTTACGTCCATACCAAATTTCGTACGTGGATTATAAAGTTTTCGCCGCGCTTTTTCAGTTGTTAAACAGACTATACCTCCCCCTATCTACCGACAGGTAGTGACATCTATCCGTTAATCTCGTGGTTATATCATGAAGTGCATGTTTTATGTCGTACTATGATAATTAATTGTATAATTCCTCTTAGCCCACTTTTCACGAAACCTTCCTATGAAGCCCACGCTTTCGTTTGCAAAAACTCGAAGCTGGGCCATACGATGTGAATTTGCTTTTATTTTTTATCGTTCTTTTTTTATATTATGCAAATGGTATGGTTTTTTTTAATCTTTATAATTCGGTTAGTATATGTTTGTGCAGACCCCCCTTGGTAGTTTTTTGGATGTGTCTCTTAGATGTACCCTGATATAATTACAATTACATATACTGTTACACACGTTAAAAGGCTGAAAATTTATTATTATTATTATGGTTATGATTAAATGTCTTGACAGATTTTAGGTTCGTTTATGGTTTTTCTTTTTTTGTTTCGGAAAAATAAGTCTGTTTCAAACAAATCAATGTGGTCCAAACTTATGACGAATATAGCAAGTGTTTCTCGTAAGTTACTAAAAAATAAGATTTCTTCTTTTTACAGTAAGGTTACGGTTAATATCATCATGTAAAAAAATATTAAATGTATTGAGTACAGAATTGTGAATATTTTTAGGGATATGTTCCTTGATTGGGAAATCAATTCTTTAAATTTTATTCTAGAATTTTTTTAATTATCGGTTTTGTGATGTTTTAAATTTAAGTTAACCACTTTTATGATTTTATTGTTAAAAATATTTCAAGCGTAGTGTTGAAAAATGCGGTTTAAAAATTGATTTCCTCAATAATTGATATCTTGTGTTTGTATGGCAAAAACTAATTTGTATATTTAAGTGTAATATAATAAATATGTGTAATATAATATTTGACTGATATTGTACAAAACTAGATTGTGATTAAGGCAACGATGATTTTATTGATATGGTACTTAACAGGTGATTAGCTGTAAAGAACGAAGAACCCTTTCGAACCAACCATATAGAGCCTTTATATGATGATGATTAAAAAAATGAGATAAACTTTAAAGGTTTTATTATTTGGCGAGGGAGGGTGGAAGAGGTTCAGATTGTTTTGCTGATTGTTGAAATTCATGCAATTCTGTACGGTACATAGTTTGTAGGTTTGGTTTTTTTAATAGTCGGTAAATATAATTGTAACTTTCTGATATCATAAACAAAACTAACAGGGTTTTATATGACAGGTTCATTTGCATTTTTAAAATAAACGGGTTTATTTGGAGAATTATGTACAAAGTTTTTTTAGAGTAATAAGTGCAATTAATTCAAGCATGTGATATCTTTTCTCTGTAAATACAGTTCAAAAATTTAATAATGAAATTTATTTTAGTGATTGTACATAATTCTTTAGAAACCTGGAAAACTTTACTGTAGAAATTGTATGTAGAATGTTCAATGTAATATAATATTTAAAAATATATTAATGTTAAGTATTGCATTTAAAATAAACGACTTTTATTTATAGTTCCACAAAAAACAACATTTTATAACAAAAATATTTTTAGGAAGCGTTTTTTTACAAGAGTTATTTATTTTAATTTTATATCCTAAATATTGTTAAATGAATTAGATATTTTCATTATTTAATTTCTCCAAAATTAAATATATTTTATACATATAATACAGGGAGTTATGCAATTAATGTAATAATATTACATTATATATGTATTATATTAAAATGGGTAGTTCCATAGGGTCCATAAAGAAGCAACTAAAACTTTTTTCTAAATTCTAAAGACTAAAAATAATTTATCCTACCAAAAAGTACGTCACCAGGAACATAAGGTTGGTAACAAGCAGCGTTTCCAGATTCTGTAAAAAAAGTTGCCAGATTTTTTTAAATTTAGCTTAATTACAAAAATGACAAAATCACAATGCAAATTGTTAATTTGGAGTTTTTATTTAAATAATAGACCTATTCCATAAAACGGACTTTTGGATAGCGCGTGCGTGAAAAGGCACCCCGTCCTTTTTTTAATTATAAAAGAGAAAGAGATACCACTCTTCTTCAGACACGCGCTATCCAAAAGTCTGTTTTATGGGATAGGTCTATTGTTGATTATGTAATTTTTCTGTTGAAGGTAAATTCAAACAAAAAAAATATCTTAACTAAGGGAAGTGCTTTTGGATTTATTTACACAAATTGAATGTTTAAAGTTTAACCTGTGAAGTCCTAATTTCATCTGAGTAAACAGAAAGAAAAAAACCAATGAAAAAATTAATTTTGTTTTTAGAATAGGTACTAAATTTTTTAATCATTGCTTAAGCCACAGGCTTAAGCTAATAGCTGAATGAGTAAATAAATACATAAGGTTATAAGAGCTTTAAGGGCATACGACTTTTCTATTTATTTATTTATGCAAGACAAATTTTTAGTACCTAACAATTTTTTTCAACTGCCAACACAAGTGTGTAAACAGTGGCGTATCAAAAAAAATATAAAAAACTTCTAATGCATATTTTTTCTTTATCTTTGGGAAAATATTTTTTTAAATATTTTTCTTTTACACATTATGTCAAAAGGTATTCAGTATTTTAATATATTACATTAATTACATAACACCCTGTATATTGGTTTTTGGAATTTGTGACGTGACATACGATGCTGTGACCATTTGTGACAGGAAGGAGGGGTCAAAAATCCCTTTAAAAAGCATGCTCTTCATAGATAATCCCTAATATATTTTTTCACTGACACTTTGGTTCACTTTTGTGCAATTTTTAACGTTCCGATTACGCGTCCACTCTAATATGTCCATAGAAACCCTCTTTGGAGAAATATCACAAAACATTGCTTTAAAACCTGTTGCGCCATCTATTATTTACTTTTCGAACCATCTGTCGAATCAAAGATAGCTCAACTCGGTACATTTGAACTACCGCAATTATTTTGACCAAAAAGCGGCAGATTATCGCGATTTAACTCATTTAAATCCACTAATTTAAGGCATTCAAATCCACAGATTCTCGCGATATCGATCGAATATTTGACATTTCCTGTCGAAATGTCAAACAGACGTCGCAGTAAACAAAATGCGGTTATCGATTATTTACGATTTTGACGTAGAATTGTTTGTTCTGTGTTTTAAATGTAATTAAAAACAGAAAACGGTCGCGCTAAGATGGCAAACTCGATGCAAGGGGTGTATTCCCCGTTGCCGCAAAACCTCAGCGATTCCGACTCCGAGAAGGAAATAACCATGGAACCTGTTTGTGGTGGGAATAATTCCTTAAAAAGCAGCAGTTTCGATAGAAAAGCGTATAGAAACAATGGTCACCTGAATTTCCACAACATGACTGAGGATGTGTTAAAGATTAAGAGGGTAAACCCTAAAATGACAACGCTGCGTAAGACGGCGTTTGTTTTTTCTATATTGCTTTGTTTTCTGCCTGTCATTATATTCTTGTGGGTTCTACCCTGCTCTGATTCAGAAACATGCCCAATTAAAATATCGAATTGGGAGTTCCAGCAGGAGAATATTGAGCTAAAGGGAAAAGTCAACGTTGTACATGGTCTCTTTAAAAACAACCTAAACTTGGCCATATTGTACAAAGGCTGTAAATTATCGGAAAACACCAATAACGGACTGATATCTCTATTGGGTTCCACGGGGGCTGTAGCATGGGATTTTCATCAGGAACCAGATCCGATCACAATGAATTGCTCTGTGATAGATGCAGATGGAAATGGTTTGAACGATTGTTTGGTTTTGGATGATAAAGGTTTAAAAGCTATTGAAACTATATCTGGTACTGTTATTTGGCATGTACACAGTCACGAGTCTAAAATGGCAATAAGCGAACTAAGCAGCCCTGTGAAATTAGTTGACTTGAATAAAGATGGCATTACAGAGTTTATAACTGTGTATCAAGGTAAAAGTTTTTTAATTGTTTGTGGTAGAAGTGGGAAAGCTTTGAGAAATATTAAAGTTAATTGTAATAATATTACATCTTTGCAATATTTAAGTAAGAGAGAGGCTATTGGTTATACTTGTTGGAATGAAACAATTGTTAAGTTCTATGAAATCGCAATACAAAACTTTAAAGAGAAATTTGGGAATGATAATTTTAATTTAAAGCCAATAAAAGTGTATGGTAAAGATAAAGAACAAATATATACATCAGGTAATAGAAAATTGGTTGTAAATACAAATGGCAAATGCCCCTCGTGTTTTTCAACAGTTTCCCTGTATGATGACACCAAAAAACAACTAAAAACATGGAATTACACCAACACCTACATAATGAAACCTGAAACATTCTCATTTAAGTCATCAGAATCAAATTTCAAGTCTCTTCAAGGGCACGTCAATGGTTTTATATTAAAACTGTGGCATTGGACTGACAAAACTGCTATCAAAAAAATCAGAAAACACAAAAGAAGTCTGCCATTCTATAATGAAACCTCATTAGTATATAAAATAACAGAAAAAGTAATGTTAATTACATTCAATGACACCGATATCCATACAATTAATGCCAGTATGTTTGATATTACTCAAATATGTTTTAAATATGGTGATCAAAGTGAATGTCAGCCTGATCATAGAAATCAGGAAGAATCCCTATTAATTGCAGACTTGGACAGAGATGAAAGTCAGGAGCTAATTAACTATTACAGTACTTTCACAAAAAGAAATGAAGACAATTCCTGGTACTTAACATCCTATCTCAAAGTATTCAGACTTGAAAGTGAGCTACCCAAATTGTATAAACAAAATTAGTTTCCCTCTTTAAAAATGTCTACAGGGTGTTTTTGGCCCGAGTTCTGGAATACAAAAAATGTAAGCTGTCAAAGCCTTTTAGGTTTATTCCGATTCACCCTGTATATTATATGTAAGCACAATCAAAATTTTCTCCCACCTAATTTTAAGACCACCAACACAACATAAATGTATTAATTTAAGCCAAAACTGTTTTTATTTTTAATGAAATTGTTAATATATTTATTTAATTGTTTATTATTGTATAACAAAGGCCCACAAAAAAAACGAGTTGTTCATGCATGGCTCAGACCGTTCGTTTTTTTGTGGACCTGTGCAATATATATTAGAAAAAAATTAAGGTTTGTTTGGGTCCAAATTCTAAATTAAAAAAACTCAAAACTATTATAAATATATTTACCCATAGGTTTGTTTCTACCGAGCAATTAGACTCATAGCATTGATGAACTTCTTCACTCAACGCTCATAGACTGTCAAATAAACGTCAGGAACATGCGTAATACGAAAATATGGTCGCAATTTTACTATTGCGCATGTCCATGACGTCCATTTCTAATGTTCTCTCTATTTAATATTTAATTAACTTGTATAAATTAAACTGCATATTATGTGTATGGAAAGTTATATGTGTTTAATAATAAAGTACTCTGCTAGTCAATTTTATCTATTTTATATGTTACCCTGATTCGAAAACTAAAAATACCATTGGCAACGTTGCGTACGTTTTAAGTACCGTTGTAAATTTGAACTACCGCATCATTTTAACCATAGAAATAATACTAGTATTATATCTATGATTTTAACAATGGGATAGGGACATAGAAAAAGGATAGGGAGTTCGATTTTATCCTTCATCGTGTGTACATCGCTCCATGAAAAAGTCTGAAAATAGTTGACTTTGACCCAGGAAGGATAAAATGGGGTTCCCGGTATAGAAATATACCTGTATTTCTCGACAATATCGCAAGCTTTGTCCTTTCAGCGAGGAATTTTGTGATTTGTGCAATTGATGTAGTGGATGTTTCAAGATTTGAAATTCCACATGTCCGTGAGTGGATGTCTTCGAGAAGCTCAAGGACGTTAAAACTTGTAACTGGGCAGTAAGAGCCTAATTGGCTCAAGTCCAATTCTCTCGAAAGAGAGAATAACAATTATTGAAGAAGAAGAAGAACAATGGGATAATCCCATTGGGATTACCACCACAGCTGAAACACCACCACAGATTATAAAGGTTACCACCAATCTAAAGTGGAGTGGAGATAAATAATTTATAGTTAATAATTGATAAGATACGCTTGAAGAATAAGATAAGTAAATTTTGTAGTGTTTTTCGGGGATTCCCCATTCATTAAAAATAACGTCAATTCGACACGATTTCGTTCATTTCAAAATTTTATCGCGTTGGTTGAAGTTGTATTCGCACCTTATCGTCAAAACTGTTGCATAAAAATGGGTAAAAGCAAGAACAAAAACAATTCTAATAAACAAGCTGCCCCTGTGGGAGAGACAAATAAAAAAATCGGACAAGGAAAAAGTACAAATAAGCAGAATGAGATTACAAAAAGTGAGAATCATCAAATACAACAAATGAGAGTAGCCCAGATGTAAAAAGTGAGGTTATTTTAGGTGTTGAAGAGATTAAAATTTGTGAAAATATTGCACAGACAACCCAGCCTGTGGAAGAGGGACAAATGAGAGATGATGAAGAAAATCAAATAAGTAAAGTAAAAACCATAGAAAACAAACAAATTGCACAAGTTAATAAAAGACTTGTACAGAATGAAGAAAAATGTGGCATCCATGGATTGTGGTCTTATCCATGGCTCAGTCCAGTTTTGTGGACCTATAATATAATAAAAAACATTTTTAAGGTTTGTTTGGTTCCAAAATCTAAATCTAAATTTAAAAAACTTAAAATTATTATAAATATGTTTGTTCCATCGAAAATTTGGATAGTCGAATAGTCCCTACGTGCGCAATACCAAAACGCATGCGCAAAACGAAAATATGGTCGCGATTTTACTATTGCGCATGTCTCCGACCGTCATTTGACAGTACAAATATTATAGGCTTTGTTATCTATGCTTGTTCCTACCGAGCATTTTGACTGTCAGATGGACGTCATACGGTGCATGCATGCAGGATTTTTATTCAAAGGAAAAATAAGACTACCATTGGCAACGTCGCGTAGGTTTAAACTACCATTGTAAATTTGAACTACCACATATTTTTATTTGTCTTTAGTCTATTTGTTATATGGTCTAAAAATGTAATTACTACCAATCTTAAGTGTTTGTTATATGAAGATATATAATTAATTGTTATTATATTATAAAATTAACTGGTAAAATAAGAAATAAATTTTGCGAACTGTTAAATTTCCGGGGATTCCCCTTTCATCAAAAATAACGTCAATTCGACACGTTTTCGTTCATTTCAGCATTTTACCGCGTTGGTTGAAGTCGTATTTGCACCGTATCGTCAAAACTCTTGCATAAAAATGGGTAAAAACAAGAACAAAAGCAATTCTAAAAAACAACAGAACCAAGCTGCTCCTGTGGGTGAAAAAACTAACAAAATCGGGCAAGGAACAAGTAAAAATAAGCAGAAGTCACCAAATACAACAAATGAAAGTATGAACATCAGCACAGATGTTAAAAGTGAGGTTAGTTTAGGTGTTGAAGGAATTAAAATTTGTGACAATAATGCACAGACAGCCAAAGAAAAGTCTGTGGACAGAGGAACAATGGGAGACATGGAAGACATAGAAAACGAAGAAATTGCACAAGTCAATGAAAAAGTTGTCCAAGATGAAGAAAAATGTGCCAAAAGTGAAGATACACCTACCCAATTAGAAAAAAACAGCATTAAAATGGATAAAAGCAAGAACAAAAGCAATTATAATAAAGAACAGACCCAAGCTGCTTCCATGGGTGAAACAAATAAAAAATCTGCACCAGGAAAAGGTAAAAATAAACATGGTAAGAATGAGGTTACAAAAAGTGAGAAATCACCAAATACAACAAATGAGAGTATGGAAATCAGCACAGATGTAAAAGGTTTGGGTGTTGAAGAGATACAAATTTGTGAAAATAATGCACAGACAACCAAAGAGAAGTCTGTGAAAGGAGACGTTAAAGAAAATCAAATAAGTAAAGTAAAAACCATAGAAAACAAAGAAATTGCACAAGTCAATGAAAAAGTGGTACAGAATGAAGAAAAATATGTCAAAAGTAAAAAAAAACCTACACAATTAGAAAAAAACAGTAGTAAAAACTCAGAAAACAAAATACCTAAACAGTCTAGCAAAATCGGAAAACAAAACGACATTAAAATGCAAGAAAATACTCCCAAAATACCACAAATTGACAATTCCAAAGAAGAAATTATGGAAAATAATGATGAATCATGGGAGGAACAACATGATATTGGTAAATGTAAGTAAAAAACGTCAATTTTTATAAGTAACTGTCAAAAAATTATTTTGATGTATTGCCACAGTTTTATCAAGGATACATTTGACAGGATAGTCTATTAGTCTAACTATTTTCTTGTCACATATCTTTTCTCCAATAGCCGTTTGCCACAAAGATAAGATAAGGTAAACAAATTGTGATTGGTCCATATAAAATCGTGTTCATAAACCACGCCCACAACTCGGAATCTATACAGCACGTTTTTGTACTGTTTTTTGACTATCCTGTCAATACCTAAAAAAGATTGTGGTTTCCCATGATTTTAAAAAATATACATAAACAACTTTTTTCCAATTATAGAAAATCTGCATATTTTGCAAACACAAAAAAAAACAAAAACTAGTCAGATGCGCTCTCATTGGTGGCTTTAAAAGTGAAATAACCCCTTTTGTTTAGTTTTGGGACACCCTGTATATCCTTGGGAATTATATATGACCATGAGTAGTGCCAACTGTAAAAAATATGGGTTTCCCATACATGTCTTGGGGATTCCCCTAATTTAGTCTGTGTATGCTGTTATAGTTATAGAATACAGTTTCTATTGATTAAACAATATCTGGGTGTTGCCTTGTTAATATATATATATATATATATATTGTATTTTGAATTAAATTAACGTTATTTTAATGCCCAAACGCAAAAAAACCAAATGTACTCTAATAACATTGTATATTGAAATACTTTAATAACTTTTGTATTTTTTAGTTGATAATCTAAGTTTAAAATCTAAAGAGGAGGACAAAGATGCTCAACAAAGCACATATTTCAGTAGATTAAATCCTAATGCATCAGAATGGCCATCGAGTCCTGAAACAAGTTACAAAACTGAATTTCACAAAGATAACAAGGAATACAAAAAGAAGAGTAGCGACGATGGTAACTGGCGAAACAAAAAAGCAGGTTATAACCAACAGAGGTCACCTTTTGAGTCAAAAGGTAAACCAGCTTGGTTACAAGAAATTGGACTAAAAAGTGAGAATACTGAGAGGATCGATGATGAATACAAAGAGTTTGAAGGGGCTTTTAATAAAGTTAAAAGGGATTTGCCTAACTACGAGTATAAGAAAATTGTTGAGCAACAAGCTGATTTGTTTGCAATGGGAAAAGATTACTCTCTGGCGCATTGTGTGGCTGAAGATATGGGAATGGGCAGTGGAATTGCTGTGCAGTTTAGGTAAAAAAAACAGAAATAAAAAAAAAAGCTAAATCATTAAATTATGAAATTATTATTTTTTAGACGCGATTTTAAGAGAGTTGATGAACTTCTAAGCCAAAAAGCAAGGCAAGGTGAAATGGCTCTTCTAGAAGTAGATGGTAGATTCATCTACTATCTGGTTACAAAAAGAGAATCTTCAGGGAAGCCAACCTACGAAAAATTCTTTTCGTCTCTGAAAAATTGGAGGAACCATGTTCAACAACACAATATAAAAAAATTGGCAATACCTAGAATAGGTTGTGGTTTGGACAGACTGGAGTGGGACAAAGTAAAATTTATGATGGAATTTTTATTTAGAGACGTGGATACCGAAATTGTCGTCTGTAATTTTCAACAAGTAAGTTTTTTATTTTTGATAATATAAATTATGCGTTAATTTAGGAACGGGCGGTAAGTTAAACTTACCGCACTAGTGCGGTTAATTAGTTCTACTGCAGAATTTCTCGATTTAAAAACAGTTTAATTGTTTTTGTTATATTTTTGTAGAACCATGGCAAAACTAAGCAGAAGTTGCAACAAAAAACAAGTGCACCAAACAAAAAACCTAATAAAAACAAGAAAAAGAAATGATATATATTTAATTCAATTTAATATTGTCTTTTTTTAATTTGTATTTAAACGTTTTATTGATTTTTATGAACGTTATTGTTATCAACTTTTTTTATCAATATGTATTTTAAAACCTTTATCAATTTTGTGTCCCGATATTGGCACACTAACGCTATACCACGATATTTAAAGTATAAACAAATACTAAAGAATTTTATAAGCCGTTATTTTCGAAATATTAAATATAACACTGTGTAGCTAATAAAATTCGTAAAATCAATCCCTTCCCCTCGTCAAATTTTAATACTTGAATATTTGCTTTTAAAAATAAAAAAGATTTTAAGAAATATAAATTGTGTACTTTTAAAATGTTGTATTGGTTTTGCAATAAAATATTTCACAATTAAACTGTTTTTTATTTCAAAAATTCCTGCTTAGTTTGGGAGCTATGTCGCCCTGAAGTTACAAATTTTAAATCTTTATTTAATAAGAAGGGGGCGGCAAAAATAACTAAGCGATTTGTTGTTTAAGTAATTGTAACATATAATAAAGGTACATTATAGACCAAGAGGAGAAAGCACATATTATCGCCGAGCATACATTTGACAGCCGAAGCTTTCGCCGCCGTGTTTTTTGTACAATTTTTTTTGAGGCATTTAATTAAATAATTTCTACGATTCTATCGCATCATTTTTAGGTTAGGTTCAACTGACAAAATGACATTTTAGCTTTATTTCTATACGGAGTTTAATAATAATTTGTAAATTATTATAATAATTTACAAATTATTATTAAATATTTATAAATATTCTTTGAAAATGATGTTGCATTATGTGTCCCACTTTGACATTAGAATATGGGGGGAATTTTTCTAATAATTTGATGTGGTAGACCCCCCTATCCCTCACGTAAAATTAAACTTTTACAACATGATAAACCCCACAATCCACACAACAAGGTCTGTTTTATCTCATGCTAAAAATACTAAAAATCACTGCAACACTGCACAGAGTTTAACGGCGGCCATTTTTGTTGTTTACAATTCTTGTGCTTTGGGTTTGTGCTGTTTAATAATTGTTTTAAACGTTGGGTTTCTTACAGAGGCACTTGTAAGCCTCAAATAAGGCCTTTAAGTGCTAAGGACAACCATTTTACTCCTCTTTTATAATAAATATACCTTATTCTATCAGGGCTGTCAAATGACAATTTGAAGGTTAATTTGTAGGTTATAATTTAACCTTAAAATTGAAACTTGACAGTTTTATGACAGCCCTGATAGAATAAAGTTTATTTTTTACAATAGAGGAGTAAAATAGTTGTTCTTAGCACTTTATATCCTCTTTTAAGGCTTACTATGAGAAACACAACGTTTAAAACGATTATTAATCTGTATAAACAGAACACAAACCCAAAGCACAAAAATTGTAAACAACAAAAATGGCCGCCGTTAAACTGTGCAGTGTTGCAGTGATTTTTTGTATTTTTAGTACGAAAAAGAACAGACCTTGTTGTGTGGATAGTGATAAACCCAAAAAAAGTAAAAAAAATATTGATATTTTTTTTAAACAAATTTGAATTATATTACTTTCTTTAAACTCAAAAGTTGACTTGAGATTTTAAATTAATATAAAAATTTTGTATGAATATACATTATTAAGATTAAATATTTGTTGGTTTAACGCTAATGTCGTCTTATTTTCTAGCGGTACGGCAAAATTTGACACTTTCTACACAAAATTTCCATGATTGCCATATTTTAATAATTGTTTCTACTCCCACCTTTAAAACGCCCATTACTGTACATGTTTCCATGACACTAAGTGACCTTTTAAATACACATTGAAAAGTTGTGGCTTTATGGCGTTTTAGTCACGGGCTGAAGTTAGCAACAGGTTTTTAGTCACGGGCTGAAGTTTAATTTAGTTGACAGTTGTCAAATGTCATACAATCGTTAAAATAAAGTGCCCTTCTTGTTAAATAATACTAAATGTGAAAATTATTTTATTATCGCAATACAAAAATATAAAACCATTAAATAGTTTCTCAACGCCAATATTTGAAAAGTTTATATGAACATTGTACTGACCTTTTAATTTCGCCGGCAGTAAACTATAGGTGTTTTCGCGGTGCTAATCCCGAACTAGTTCGGACATCCTAGGCATGCGCATTTTAATATTTGTCATGGGCACTTTACATTTTGAACCACAAATTTTAAAAAGCGCTTGCCTAGGATGTCTGGAATTAGTTCGGGATTAGCTCCGCGAAAATAGCTATAAGTGCTCATAAAACATTTTCTTTACTTTCACTGTGAAAAACTATTGTTAATGGATTTTCAAGAAATACATTTCGATTTATAATCTTTATAACACAAAAATTTGACATTTGCCGGTACCTAGCACAGATTCCCCTATTGTTTTATAGATGACGCTCTATACAAATATTTGATTTAAATCATTTTAAGATAATAATAAGTATTTGTCGTTTTAAACGTCGTGTTTCTTACAGAGGCACTTGTAAGCCTTGTAATGACTGTCATCAAACTGTCAAATGTCAAATTTAACATTTTACATTTTGGTGACAGCCCTGATAGAATAAGTTTTATTTTTAACAAAAGAGGAGTCAAATGGTTGTCCTGAGCACTTTAAGGCCTTATTTAAGGCTTACAAGTCTTGGTGCATCTGTAAGAAACAGAACGTTTAAGCACAAGAGTTGTAAACAACACAAAAATTGCCGCCGTTAGAGTCTGGGGTTGTGTATACCAGGGCTGGATGCTCCGGTGTACGAGTTTTGGTTCGTCCCGCTCATGACGTCACTTGATGACGTGAGAATACACGAATAATAGTAATATTATGAAAAAAAATGGAGAAATATCTGGACATGGTGCGTTTTTATTAAACTTAATATTGAAGAAAGTTATATAATATGTATTATAATAATAGATGCTTTCAGTCCTTGATAACATTTAGGGCTGTTCTTTAAGCGTTGGTGTTTTAAATTAAACTTATAGTCACTGTCCAGAAAATGTTTATAGGAAACAGAAGCGGTCTTAACGTTAATATTGTCTATTCTTTTTGTGGCATTTAAACACTGTTTCCACAAACCAAACTTTTTCGGAAATCGATTAAATTTAATGTTTTTATTTAAAGGGTTTTTCTTGGACTGGTTGTCCGAATTGCATCCAAATACGCCACACCGCATTTTAATAAATGCAAATGGCACGACACAAACTAAAACACAAACAAACCAAGTTAACGCAACACAAAAACAATAATTAACAAACTGAACAGGTTAACACAATGCAATAACAATAATTTGAACACTGAAAAGTAATTCGAACCTTACCGAACACAAAAACAACAAATTAAACAAAAAATAGAGCAAGTTAACATCCAACAGCATCGCAAAAACAAGAATTTTAGCAGCAGATAATTAAAAAGCACGTTAAAGATTTAAAAACACTCATCAAGTGACGTATTTAAGCCCCGCCCAACATGCGCACCATCCTATCTTAAGATAGAACATACATTTTTGCGTGGATTGTGGTTTATCCTGAACCCATGCGATTTTCAAAAATTTGGTATTTTGACAATGTCAATGGGGTAGTTAAATTTTTTCTGACCTATACTTTTTATGGTTTTATTCAAGGCGCTTGGTAATATTAAACATTTCTGTGAAATCAGAATTTCAATTGAGTTTACCGTTTTCGAGATATTTACAAAAAATATAAATTTTTATGACGTCACAAACCTCGCCATGTGACCAACATTCTAATATTTCTATTGGTTGAAAATTACCCTGTTGTCAAGTTGTCTTGTTAATGATTTCATTCGGTTATGTCAGAAAATACCCGAAGAGGTTATGTACAAATACTGTCACTGTCAGTTGAGTGAAAGAGGGTCACCAAATTCATTAAGTACCTATCTTCCTTATTACGAGGTATCATATTACTGTTTGATATTTTAGAGTCCAAGATATATCTAAAAGAATATAAAGAACTAGGCATTATACTAATGAAATGCATTTACGACAAAATATGATTATAATTATAGGTACTTACTTTATTTGTTTAAAAGCTCCAATGTTCAATGTAACCAACCATTCCACAAGATTCCTCTGCTTTGGAGTCCGTTATTAATAAATCACTTATCTAATATCAATTACAAATAACATAACAATAACATTGATTTTCAATAATCTAAATTTTAAAAAAACATAACCCGAAAAAAAGAAACGTCAAAAAATCAATTCTTCTTCTTCTCAACTAAAATTATAGATCAAGTGGTTTTAAAACTAAAATATTATAACGTGGCGCCATCTATCGTAGGAATCTTAAACTAAACACACTGGCAACCATAGAAAAAGCTGGCAACGTTGTCAATAGCCTAGTGCCGTAATTAGGAGATTTTTTTTTGTAAATATCTCGAAAACGGTAAACTCAATTGAAATTCCGATTTCACAGAAATGTTTAAAATTACAAAACGCCTTGAATAAAACCATAAAAAGTATAGGTCAGAAAAAATTTAACTACCCCATTGCACATTTTAATTCAACTTATTTACTAAAAAAAGTAATTTTTATTTAATAATTCGCAGTAGGTGTTATACAAAGCTATATTTTTTCAAGGCTGAAGACAGCACCCCTCCCAGGGTGTCCAACTGCAAAGTAGTAAACGTGGATTACTCGATATCCGCAATCGAAACAGGCACCATAATTCTCTACTGGGCCTCGGAAGACGGCCACGTGACAGACGTGATCGCAGACCTGGACAAAAAGTTCAACATACGGACCGACTACAAGTCGGCGAGATGCGCTTTAGGCGAGGTCATACGTCACGACAAATCGCGTCAAGGTTACCTGATCTACGGATGCGTGGTCCGCAAATGCTTCAAGGACGAGCTGGACTTTGCGGCGTTGCAAAGTTGCGTGAAAAACGTGCAGAAGGCGAACCGCAAGGATTATTACGAGTACGTCGGCGTGCAAGCTGTCAAGGATAAGGATCCCTTGATGAACAAAAAGATTGTCAATATTTTGAGAAATTCGCTCACCAAAGTTGATGTTTACGTTTGTTGGCCAGGGGATTTAAAGAATGATATGCCTCCGACTAGATGATTTTTCTTAATTGCATTTTTTGGGTTTTAATTGTATAACCCAATACGCTAAGCTAGTATCGGTAGCGCCATCTGTTGAGGGAAGTTATTATCATTATTTGAGTCGTTTAGAATCAAAAGCGAAATAAAGTTAAAGTTAAAATAAATCCTTCAAACAGTGTTTTACTTATATTTACAAAATATTAAATTTTAAAAATATTATTTTTCAATAAACAAAATTAATTCAGTGCAAATTTTTTTGGTATCTTTCACGATTTTACAAAAGAGTAGTTACATTAGAACATGAAAGTTTTGTAAACTTGTTGATTTTGAATATTTTAGTTTTTTTGTTTGCAGATTTGGAATAGTTTTGTTATTTGGATACTGTTTTTTTCAAGGTTTTTTAAAACCAGTTCATTTTCCATTTTATAAAATTTGTATTGTTCTTTTTTAATATTCAAAAATAGTAAACGGTAAAAAGAATTTTTGATGAAAGTTTTTTGGTAATTATTTCACGATTTTGTGGACAATAACAATTTTACAGAAATATAAGTCAATTTAAAAAAATACATTATACCTACAAGGTGACCCCGAAATGCCTGTACAAAATAATGTGATTTAACTTAATTTACTTTTATTAAAAAACATTTTTGCCCAAAATTGATTTTTTTTTAGGCCGAAAAAATTAAATTTATTAAAAAACTTAATGTAGGTTGTAGAGGGCGTAATAAGTAATAAAAATATTACTTTTTTATCTTTATTTCCCAAAAAAGGTAAACCTTGTAAATGTCATTCGAATGGACCAAGTAACCATTTTCGAGATGTGCGTTTAAATTTTTTTAAAACAATGACAAAGTTGTACCAACTAAATTTGAAGCGTCTCTTAATGTATAAAAACCCCCTAAAATTAAATTTTGTGCAAACACGTTTGTTTTTTCCAAAGTTATTAATAAAATCGAAAATGAACTTTCAACTTTGACACCCTTTATATTGGTTATTATCAACCTTAAATTTAGTTTTATATCACATTATTTTGATCTCAGGAATATGTGGTATCAATTTGTACAGGTATAACAGGGACAAAAATTGGCTTTTGTATTTTTCTCCAAATTATTTTTGTCACATATTCGTTTTGATTCTACACGACCCATAGAAACCCCTAAAAATCCATAAAATAATGCAAAGATACTCTTTCAGAAAATTCTCTATTAATACAAAACAAAGTAAGTTTTTTGTGGATTTATTCTGGTTTTATCATTTTTTAAGCTTGATTCTCCCACCAGACAGTGACATTACAGATACTTGCTTTGCACATGTTTTGTGCATAAATTTGAGAAAGGTCAATAATATTTATATTTCATTAATTTCAATCTAAATACAGTTTAAGTTGTTAAACTAAACTTTTTATAAGTTTAATATTGACCCTTACTGAAAACGAATATTTAGGCCATAACGGCCATTTCAAGCGTACGGACGGGACAAATAACAAAACTGTTTAAAAAAAAAATTGTAGGTAACTTATTATATATTATATTTGCATCAAAATTGTCAAATATATTCTTCTTTTATTAGGCTAAATAATAATAAAAAAAACGCAACATATATTTTATAAAAGTAGGGATAATTTTAATTAATAGGTGTGGATGGGACAACATAAATCTTTTTTTGTCCAATCCTCACCTTTCAATTATTAAAATTATCTTTACTTTTATAGAATATTTCTTGCGTTTTTTTTTAAATTTAATGTATAGCCTAATAAAAGAAGAATATTTTGGACATTTTGATTCCAAAATATTATATATTATATAATAAATTATCTACAATCTAATTTAAAAACAGTTTTGTAATTCGTGCGTTTCGCGCGCTTGAAATGGCCGATAAGTCACTTTTTGCTTTTATTATTTTTTTAGTATAATATTATATATTATGTATGTAATTATTTAATTTAATTTTAAAAAATTAATTACATACACACCCTATTTAATATATGTTTATATATTAAAGGTATTGATAATATCACATTTATTTTATTGAATATCCGCTTTTTTCGAAATTAATTTACAAAGTGTCCATAGAATTTATAAATTTAGGAGCAGATTAAGCAAGTCAAAATAAGACGAAAATCTAAATAATTATTTTTCCTAATTACATATGCTTCCACGATACAGGGTGATAAAGTGTTACTTATCCTATGAGTTTTTTTAATAAACTTCTACTATATCTTGGAAACATACCTAAGTAATTAGGAAAAATATTTATTTAGTTTTAATTTTGTTTTAATTTGCTCAATCTTTTCCCAAATGTATGCCAATAAGTTTAGGGACACCTTGTATACAAAAGGAAAAAAAATGGTTAACTGCTCTGAAAGTTAAAAAACATTTTGGTTATAAATTTTTGACTAAATGTAATTAAAAAAGGTCAATAATTTAGGGGCGATTTTATCATAAAAAAAATAAAACTGAAATAGCAATTATCTCTGAAACTATAACATTTTTTGTAGACAAATAAATTTAAAAAATCATTAAAAAAATCTTTTTTACTTTCAATTTTAAGTGCCTTTGGTGAGAATAGGATGGCAACCAAAAATGTTGTCCCTTTGCACATTTTTTTCAACTCAAAGATTAATATTTACCAATTACCTATTACCAAATTTGGTTCAAGTAAACCACATTAAAGTCAAAATGAGTTTTTTACTCATGTTGACTCTTCAAAAAAAACGTCAAAGAAAACAAAAAAGAACCAATTACAAGGCAAAGTATTTTATATTTTATTTTAAATTAGAATATCTCTTAAACTATATTATTCAGTCATTAACAATACTCTGGTAAACGCATTTATACAAAACTCTTAATATTAAACATCTCAAATTTTAAAAAATACAACATCTTTATTGTTAAACTTACTATGTGTATGTACAAGAAATATAAATAAGGTAAAGCCAAATAAAAATGTATTGCTATAAGCTTCTATAAATATATGTATAATATGTGTTAGATCTGATGGCTTGATGACTACCTTTAGCTTCATCTAAAAGGTGGTTTGCCACTTTGTCTTGCCATAGTGAAGTCAACTAAAACAAAATAAACGGTTTTACAGTCTCTCAACTTTTTGTTAAATGGTTATCAACTCGAATTTTTTTGATAAAAAATTGGGTTACAAAATATAAATGGATTTTTCTTAATAGGCTTAAATATGTCCAGGGGCGTAGCAAAGGTTCCAAATTTGGGGTGGAGCATTTTTTTGTTATTTATGAATAAATGCTTTATTTCTACATAACTTTTTTTAATCCAATATTTCAAAAAAAAAAATTCTGCACCTTGCAGGAAAAACGAAAAAATTGTTTTTGTTTAGCCTTTAAAACCCTACAAGCATTTAAAATAGAAAAATTGGGAAATTTGTAGAAAAATTAACTTCTGCATCCTTAGTACGGATAATATAAGAAGGCCTTTCATAACTTTTTTTAAAATCAATTTTTCCAAAAAAAAAAGCTTTGGTATTTTCCGGGCTTTGTAAAAACTGGTTTCTTTAGGAAAAATTGATTTTTTTTATTGAAAAATACACATTGTAATAAAGGAACATTTTTTATGTTATTTATGAATAAATGGTTTATTTTTTTACTCAGTAAGGGGTTTCATAACTTTTAAAATCCAATTTTTCCAAAAAGACATTTTTCCTGCACCTTTCAGGAAAAAAAATTGGGAAATTTGCAAAAAAATAGACTTGCATTTTTTTCGTACCATTATACAAGAATAAATGCAAAAATCAATTTTCCTTAAAATTCGGGAAATTTGAAAAAAACTGTACTTCGGAAAATACGAAAAAAAACAATTATTTTTTAAATTTTTTCGTTTTCCCCTGTTTTTACACTTTTCCTTTTGTATCTATGGCAATCTTTAGGTTAATAACTTTCGGAATATTCATTTACATTCATTGGAAATTAGAGTTGCAAAAATGTTAATGTAAAAAATAATGCAATCGTAATTTTTTTTAATGTTAATTTTGTTTGAATACATTAATCATTAAAAAAAAATTGTAATGAGAAATATATTCATTACACATTAAAAAATTAATGAGCAATGTCAAACAAAATAGAAAATGAGTAATTAGAGACCTTACCTACATTAGATTAAAAAAAAATTGTGTGACAAAATGCATTACCCATTACATTAGTGAAAAATGATCAGGGGTAGCGTTGTGGGGTGATTTTATGTGAGATTTTCAATTTCTTTTATTTTTCGATATTTTTAAGTACCCATTAAAAATCCCTTTCTGGTAAAGTTTGATATTTTTTTGATTACTTGTTCAAAAGATATTTCGTTTTTTTGCTGCTTATTTCTTTAATAAAGGTCCGAATTGAAATTTTTATTTCTTAAAATTTTCTTTCTATCTAAATTATCCAAAGCATATTTGCATGCGAATTTTAAAATTTTAATTTTCAAACTGTTTGTATTATTTGATTTGGGTTGTGATATTTGATTGGTGAGAAGGCGACTCAAAAAAGTATTGAATCCGCGATGTTATGAACGAATAATTAATTTTGAACATCTGTTACTGGTAAAAAACCAATTAAAACAAAAATTAAAAAAATAATAGTATATTCCCAAGCAGCATTTTTGGTTCCAAAAACCATTGCCAAAGTGGTGATAACTTTAAATTAGTTAAGTATACTAAACAGCTACTTTAATTTTTACTTAAAAGTAATTCTAACTTTTAAATAGCGATATTTTGTAACAGAAACTTAATTTTTCCTTAAATTGTTACTATAAAGTAATAAACATTTAAGTAAAACTTGGTTGCCCCCAAGAAGACTTTGCAACTTTAAAAAAGATGTTATAAGTAAAAAAAACTTTCAAGTAAATTTAATTTGTAGCAGTTACTTTCGGTTGCTACCTAAAGATTACATTATAATTATTTTTACTTTGTAGTCCCTTTGCAAGTTAAAATCTCGAAACTGGAACATGAGTTAAAAACTACAAAGTTAATAACTTAAAAGTTATTATTTTAGTATTTGGAACGTTTATGGTACTAACCAAAACAACCGTAAAGTGGAAAAAAACTTTAAAGTAGCGAAAACTACTTCAAAGGAAAATGCTTCTTATCGGCCATTTTTTACTGTACCACGTGGTAATGTAAATAATAAATTATTTTAATTGTTTGTAAATGGTTGTTTACTTTTTAATAAATAGAAATATTGTTGGTAATAGACGGTATTAATAATTAAATAAAAAAGATAATAATAAATATTAAGATTTTTTTATTTATAAACATTACTAAATAAATAATTTTTTTATACTTAAATATTGATGAAGCGCATTTATTTTACAAAAACTAAATTCATAAGTACAACAGTAAAATTTAAAGGGTTTATAAATCTACCTGTCTAATTAAATATTATATTGTTATTCTGGAAGTTATAAACTACCAGTACATATTTAATAAACGACGACATTGAAAAGCCAAGTCCGTAGTGGTTCCATTTAAAAAAGGAGGGATAGTATAATCTAATATAAGTTTGACAAAGACAGTTAATATAGAAGTAAAAACAAATAATAAAAGTAATTATAACGCTCTAGCAACGATATTGGAACGTTCTAGTAACGTAGCAGCTACGTCCCAAATAGTAGCAGGGTTGGTAGCTAGTGACATATTTGCTACCTTTTTGGAACTCAATAATTGTTCCCCACTTTAGTCGTAACGTAGTAATGAAAGAGTAATATAAAGAGACCGGCGACTGTCGCAAAACACTTTAAAGTTTCTTCAATTGTCCCATATACGTAACAAATACTTAAATTGTTGCTTGGGTTATTATACGAGAGATAATGCAGGCTATTATTCACGAGGATGAGGTTTAGACCTAAATTATCCGAGTGAATATTGCGCATAATCTCGAGTGTAATACTATACTTTATCTACTTCAATAAGTAGATAAATAAATGATTTTCAAAATTAAATCAAATGGTTAACTTTTTACCAATTTTAAATGTTATGCAGGAAATTTCTAATGTTTAACAATATTCACGAAAAAACAAAATTATGCAATAGGAGTAGATAAAAATATTTTCCTTGCCCACTAAAAATGAGTAATTGGATAATCATTCATTTCTTATTAAAAATAAAAAAAATAAGTAATGTAAAGTAAGTACATTAACATACAAAATTGTAATTGCAAATTTAAAAATACTCATTACAAATTAAAAATAATGGAAAAAATTTAACGATGTGGCTCCCGTCCCGAGGCGGGACTTAAGTTCAGTCCCGATTGACGTCACACACTGTAAATCGGTTTTTATTCCCCGAGATTTTATAATTTGTGTCAAGCTCGATGGCTTAGATGGTAGGGCGGTCGCTTGGCATGCGAGAGGTACCGGGTTCGATCCCACTGGAAGTTGTCAACTTTTTTTATTTTTTTTATTTTATAAATTTGTTGTTTCTTTGTTAAAAAGTGTTTTATTTTTATCGTAACATAAATTTGCCCATTTTAGTTGGGTTTTTTGCTCAATGGGGCGGGGGGGGGCCCAATGGGGCGGGGTCGGTTGGGTTGTGTTGTTGAGTTTGGGTTGGTTTGGTTTTATGACTTAACTAAAGTGCCCTTAACATGTATACAGGTACAATTTATTATTATTATTATTTTATTATAACATAACAAATCTTAAAATTATGACGTCAATCGGGACTGAACTTAAGTCCCGCCTCGGGACGGGAGCCACAGCGAAAATTTAATGAGTAATTAACTTAATTTTCATTAAAAAAATAAGTAATGCATAATGAAAATTAAACACATTACTTTAATAATGTGCCCTCTAAACCTTCCTTGCTACGTCCCTGATTGAATCCAAAAGTTATAGTAAAATTTGTCAATAAATTTTAAGTTTAACATTTTTTTTTAATTCGATTTCTTTTAAGTTAATCTTTATGTTGATTTTGTCTGCTTGTACACAATTTTGAATATAAAGTATAAAATTGTCCGGGCATGTCCGGATTTCTATAAAGTGTAGAACATATTAAATAAGTACATTTGAAATCACAGTTTCTTATTACTGATTTTTAGAGAGTATGCCTACACAACAAAATATTTGAGCCCAGCTTTTATAGGACTTGGTAAGTTGAAAACATTAAAAAGATATTTATAATGCGTTTTCTCAAAAACTGTGATTTTTTAGTTGCGTCATTGTTGACTGTTGAATGAGCGATTTTAATAATAATTACCTCTTTGTGACGAACCCCCAGAAATCCCTGTCAGAGGTCGGCGCAGTCTGTTCTCCTTGGCGAAATCCTTCCCCAAGCGTTTCGGTCCTTGTTTTATCGCTGAAAACACAAAAAAACACGTTTATATACTTTTACATAATTTAATATGGCATAAATACAAATCATCCATGTCTCGCGTTAGTATTCAATAGCAAGCCGCTCAGCTCGTCAAAAACAAACATAGCAAAGCATATCCCACCTTTGGCGACGACGTTCGCGGTCTTCGGCTTCATCTGCAGGGTGAAGGTGTCGTTCAGAGGGTTCGCCGGGCCGGGGGACCTGTAGGTTTGCGACGTTGCCGAGCACTCGCTGTCGGTCTCGGTGCTCAGGCTCGTGGCGGAGCCCACGCCCGAGTCGACGACCGTTTCCGTCCACTTTATGCTCTTCACGCCCTCCAGCTGTTTCGCGATCGACTGGTACTCTCTGATCTGGTTCTGCGACAAGTAGCCGTGCGCTTTCACGCTCACGTAGAGCGGTCTCAGGAGGGTGGACATTTTTTCTATTGTCGTCTGTTGACTTTTCAGGTCGTCCTCCAATATTTCCACTCGTTTTTCTGCCAAATTGCACTAAAAAAACATTCGTTATTTTATTAATACCAGGCAGTGGCGGACTAAGGGGGGGCGGTCTGCCCCGGGTCCCCGGTCCAGAAGGGCCCCCAAATCTTAAGTAGTCTTTCTCAGTCCAACAAAAAACTATCTAAAATTTAGGGTTTTAAAATTTCCGGAAAAATTGAGCCGGCGAAAAAAAACGGTTTTTCCGAAAAAAAATGGGAAATTTTCAGAAAAATTGACTTGCATTTTTCTCATTTTTTTCAAAGAGTAATACGAAAAAATGCAAAAGTCAATTTTTCTAAGAATTTACAAATTTTTACAGATATGTAGGTTATAGTGTTTCAAAATAAGGCAATATTTTTCTTTTTTCAAATTCATGTGAAATTCTCGTCACTTATGCTAAAAAAAAATCTCTCAAAATTTGAGCTCTTAATATAATAATAATAAGTTTTCCCATTGATTTAACAAGGAAAAATAGTTTTTTAAGATTTATTTCGCCTGCATGCTATGTAGAACTTTTTTTATAAACATTCACTGGTCCCTTTTTAGCATTAAATTATCTACAAAAAATCTTACAGAGTCCAGTCTTTAAATTCAACTGTTTCTTTTTTATTAACGTTGAAACCTATAAATTCTAAACAAATTTAATATTTTTACATTTAGCGGCTAAACTACTAATCGTACAAAAAAATTTAATTAGCAATTTTGAAGATCTTTTAATGCTCTACAAATTTGTTTTAAACAATTTTTCCATGTTAAATCAATGGGAAAACTTTAAATTCGATGATGGACCTTTTAAAATTAATATTAAGAGCTCAAATTTTAACAGAATTTTTTTTAGCATAAGTGAGGAGAATTTCACATAAATTTAAAAAAAGAAAAATATTACCTTATACATACTATCCGTACACTGATATCGAGAAAAAAGTGAATTTTTGACGTTGAATATAATCATAATATCATTTTCTTAATTAAATTAAATTAAATTAAATTAATGTGAAGTTGTTGATTGCCACTTTTTTCAAATGTTTATATTAAAAAAAAAAATTCAATTTTTTCCAAAAAATCCATTTTTCTAAGGGCTGTTTTTTTCCCCAATTTTTTCTTTTTTTTTTTTTCGACACTTTAAAACCCTGGTATAGGTATAAATATTTCAGGACCCAGGTTTACCATAAAATATAAACTGATTAAAAAAATACCCCGGAGATTTCAAGTTTCAATAACATGCTATGAAAAAAAACCAAAATATAAAGTCAAAACTAAAAAAGATTTTTAATATTTTGGTCTCGGGAGCCCCTAGCTGCAATCCATCAAAAATTAGAAAAAAGGTTATAATTACATTAAATAATGGTTAATCCCCATGAGTGGGCCCCTTGATTTTTAAAATTTAAATTATTAACAAGTTTAAATATAAGTTCGCTGGAAAAGGCTTGTAATCAATTTTCATATCCCTGATTACATTAAGAGGATCTACTAACAAATTTAAAATAACAAAACTTTAATATTTACAAAACTATGACATTATTTCATAAGCAGACTAGGGGCATTTTATTTTACCGCCCCGGCCCCCGAAGGGTTTAGTCCGACACTGATACCAAGTCTTAATAATAATAAAGGTATACGCTAAAGAAGCTTCGGGTTTTCGCAACGCGCGCGCCATCTGGTGGTGTTCGATAGCATTGTGTAAATTAGAGAATTTTCAACAATAGGCTCGACTCGACAAACTTTGTTCAATTGCACAGCTAAACCGCGCACGTTATTTGTGTTTTGCGTTGCAAGTAAAAACTAAAAAACTTTGATTTAGTACTCGATTTCAATTTATTATTCCTTATTTTATTGATTAGAAACTCGACGCTTATATGCTTATATAGTAACGTTGTTGTGTGTATTTTATCTAAGTGATCATGGTGAATTATTGTGTTTTTAATTGTAAATAAAATTTAAGAACTAAATCGTTGCATTTTCATGTTTTGTCAAAGGATCCAATATGATATGTATATTTGTTGGTGAAGAATTAACTAATGATATCTTTACCTAATATAATTTACATTTAAGTTTGGACATTTTTAAGAAATCTAACAAAAAATAATGTTTGTACAAACATCGAATATTTTTATATTTGAGTCCTCTAAAAAAACGCCGACAATTGCATGTTAAACGACTAAATATACCTATGAATTCATGGCAACATAATATATATTATACATAATATAATACCGGTTCTTGGTATTTTACTGTTGAGTGGAGACTTTCTTAATCAACGCTTTTAATAATGCTAAATGTTGTTTACATTTAGACGACTTATTTGTTTTATGATTTTTACCAAATTGAAATGTTTATAATTTTCACGTAAATCATTACTAAAATGTATATTTATTGTATCTAATAGGCAGTGCTGTCAATACAGTGTGGCCCAGTTGTTTGCGACTCACCCCTGTAAAATCTTTATTTATTGTGCAAATTTAACCGGATTTGTTTTAAAGTGTAGATCTTGATAAACTATATTTTTGGATCAAAAAATGCCATATTTGTACAAAATACAAGGCCTACTATGTCAGTTTTTAAGAGTAAATTTATAAGAATTCATATTAAAAATTTTTTTAAGCAAAATCTAAGGATGGCACTGGATTCACCAGCCCTCAAAACGACCTTATACTAAATTTTATTGAAAAAATTAAGGTTAACTTTCTGTGAGTGTCAAGCTAATTTTTGCCCCCTTTCACCTCCTGTCTGCAAATTGTACCATAAAATTAAAAAAAAAAAAACAGAAAATTTGATTTTAATCAAACTTTGACCTCGAATAACTCTAAAAGGAATAATTTATCGAAAAATAATAAGAGACCTTTTTTGTAGTGAGTTACATTTTATATAAGAAACTGCAATGATCATTTCCATAAGTTACTTTGATACAGAGGTCTAAAATTCCAAACATAAAATTATTTTTCCCATGTTAATTAAATGGGAAACTAAAATAAAAACAGAGAGCTCTTGGAGTTGAGCTGAAACGTGAGGATATTAAATAGAAACATTTAAGAGGGCAAGAGCGAAAAAAAATTTAAAAAAATTTTGAAGCACCCTAGTATACATATATTATATTATTTTTAGAAAATAAGATGAAATTAACTTGACTGACAAAAAATTAAACTTAATTATTTGATGGTACTTTCAGATCTGAAAAAAACATGAAAGAAAACGGTATTTTTTCTTTTTTTTTTCAAATCCGCTACAATAAAGCATATTCTGTCAATAAACATCAATCTTAAAAAATGGAGTAATTTTTCAAAATAAAATTTTGAGTAAAATGTATATTAATAGAATAGATTACATTTTTCATTATTGAACAGTTTGAGACAACGAAAATCTGATTTCTTATTATTTGGTAGTTTCCACATAAGAAACCAATAAAAATGTAATAAAAAAAATTCCAAATTTTTTGCGATTTTTGGGATAGCAGCATCTTCGTTAAAAATGGTCGTATTGGAGCCGTAAAAAAAGCAATTTGAAGCTTGAAGTTTCTAGTTTTGAGATTTTTAGATGAAAAAATGTTCAAAGCAACGTGCAACGCTCAATCCTAACGAATACCGTGATAAAAAAAATCGAAATTTTTTTGGCTTTCTTTTTTCGTCCACAAACGACGAAAAAAATGTTTTGACTTAACCACCAAGGAATAAATGTTCTACAAGAATTTGCTATTATTTAAAAAAAAATACTCAACATGAATTTGAAAAAATTCAAGAAAAAAAGGGCTTTTGGTAGTCTTTTGGAAAATCAAGCGCTGAATTAAAAATATTATAAGTAGTTACTTTTTTGAGGACCAAATCAAAACAAGAGCGGCCCTTATTGGTCAATTCGGTGGTGGTGGCGCGTGCATAGCGGGGGACTGTATTTACATTTATTAAATGTCATTTAGTGGGTAAATTTTAGTCTGTGAATTGGACTGGAAACATAAAAAAATAGGCAAATCGGACTAATCTTGAAAAAAAAACCTAAAATATGAAAAAAAACCATATGAAAAAAAAACAATGAAAAAAAACCTGAAAGAAAAACAAAAAAGGGACCTTTTTTTATGTCACATCTCTATAGTTACTGTACATGTTTTTTGTAGTAATAGTTGCAAACTTCACTCAATAAATGGCGCTACCGAAATACTTGTTTAGTTTGGATAACACCTGTGGAAATCGACCGTTTTGTGCTATATTTGATAATAAAATTAAAAAATTAATGTTTTGGTTGCCTACCTTGTGTTCGGCTTCTTTTTCGCTCAATTTCATAATTTCCAGTTCGGCAATTTTTTTCAGCTCTGCATGCTCATCCAGCGATTTGCTTATCAAGCAGTCAATGTCGAGCCTTTGTTTTTGCACGGCGACCAGTTCGTCCTTGAGCTCTTCGCTTTTGTTCTTGAACCTCCCCACGGCGTTGTCTAATCTACGGTGCGCCTCCACTTTTTCCGGCGTGTTTGTGCAGTGGTCGCTCACCCGGGAATTCGCCTTTTCCTTTATCTGCCTATTAAACACGAAAACGATTTGTTTGCATTGAGTCAAGCCACGTCAAGTGGGACCAGAAAATTTCACGAAATCACCGATTTTGAAAATAATCACATTATTGTGTAGTAGGCATGCATGACTCATATGTCACAGTAAAAAAATTGTTTTAAAATTCGTTTTTTTGGTAATGTTATTAAGGTTGACAATTTTGTCAAACTTTAGAGCACGGTAAAATTGAAAAAATAGAATCTCTGGGACCACTCTGTATAATTGAATTAAATTTTACACACTATTGTAGAAATGTTTAGAGTATATAATGATCATTTAATTAAGGTTAATTTGTTTAAATAAAAGAATTTTGCATACATTTATTATAAACAATTGAAATTTTGTATGTGTTCTTCACGCTGAAAAAAAATTAATCTTGTGTCATAATATGCGGCAAACGTTCCCGTTTAATAAAATGTACTCAAAAATTTGTCCTTCAAATGTCATTCCGGAGATATTAAATTTTTTGTCCCGCTGTGCGCTTGATCAGTACGCGGCGCGCTTCGTTGCTAGCTCGTCCGTTCTAGCGTTTTAACGGTGTGCCTGAAGGAATAAAATAAAAATGCCGCTTGTTCGGGACCCTTTCGTGACTTAAAAATGATATTTACCAAAGTTCTAGCTGCTCCTCTTTTCGAAATTGTTCGAAAATTCATGATTTTTTTTTAAATTTTTGTTTATCTCTAAGTCCACCTTTGACAGAGTACACATTTGCACACCGATTTTTATAAAATTGGAGTAAATTATTTAGGAGACTTAGAAAATACTTTTTAATACTGTTCACATCATTTGATATATACAAGGTTAGCCAAAAATCACTTATTTTTAATAATGCAAAAGCGTAAATTCATGGTTTTAGCATAACACGCGAAAAATATTTATCCCCAATTTTTTTTAGATATTTCTACGTCTATCAGGTTACAAAATGGCATTATTATTAACCTTTTACAAGAAAAATATATTTGTAATAAAATTTAATAAAATAACGCTTAGAGAGTATTTAAAATGTTGTTTAATTTAGGCTTTTTAGTAGATTTCAATTTTGAACGGCACTCGTTGGTGATTTAAAAAAGATATTTACCAAAATTCTAACTGTTTTTTTTAAATTTGTAAAAAATTCAATTTTTTAAAATTATTTATTTATCGCAAAGTCTATCTTTGCCAGAGTACACATTTGTACAACGATATTGTAAACGAGAGAAACTGTTTTTATACTGAGCACATCATTAGATTTATACAGGGTTAGACAAAAATCACTTTTTTATATAATAAAAAGCATAATGCATAAAAAAGATTTTTCTAAAAATTTCGAAAAGAAGAGCAGCTAGGATTTTGGTAAATATTATTTTTAAGTCACCAAAGGGTCCCGAACAAGACACTGCGGAATTTTTATGTGACTTCCTTCAGGCACACCGTGTGCTGACGAGCTAGCAGCGAAGCGCGCCGCGTACTGATTAAGCGCACAGCAGGACAGAAAATTTATTATCTCCGAAATGACATATAAAGGACCAACTTTTGAGTACATTTTATTACACGGGAACGTTTGCCGCATATTATGACACAAGATTAATTTTTCTTCAGCGTGAAGAACACAATCAAAATTTCAATTGTTTATAATAAATGTATGCATAATTATTTTATTTAAACAAATTAACCTTAATTAAATGATCATTATAATATAATAATATTATAATATTATAGTCTAAACATTTCTACAATAGTGTGTAAAATTTAATTCAATTATACAGAGTGGTCCCAGAGATTCTATTTTTTCAATTTTACCGTGCTCTAAAGTTTGACAAAATTGTCAACCTTAATAACATTACCAAAAAAAACGAATTTTAAAACAATTTTTTTACTGTGACATATGAGTCATGCCTACTACACAATAATGTGATTATTTTCAAAATCGGTGATTTCGTGAAATTTTCTGGTCCCACTTGACGTGGCTTGACTCATTAAAAATTAAAATAAAATACTTCATTTGATTGACAAGAAAAACTTTTACAAAAACAAAACTTACTGCCTGAGGTTGAGTCCCAAGTTCAAATTTTCAATTTGATGCTGCCTCTCCATTATAATCCGTTTTTCTTTGAACAATTCCAAAAGTTTGTCGACTAAATCTTGCGCCAAGCCTGGGTCTTCGCTCTGCCCTGTAATTTTGGTTTCATTTTCTTTTTCCTGTAATTTAATCTTTAACAGGCGGTTTTCTTCTTTTAATTCCTCGACAATTTTAACGTATTGTCCCACGTGCATTTCCACGTTGACAACATTACGTTTTATGTTCGACTTAATCTTTTTGGCTCGTGTTGCGTATTTTAGAGTATTGTAGGTATCTTCGTATGTCAAAGATGCTGGAGATACATTAGCTATCATCACAGTCCTAAAATAAGATACTTTTTTTAAGAAAAAAACAAGTTTTTGAATCTATATGGGGCGCCGTTTTATTTTTTAACACTAGGGTGATATTTTTTTGTTAAACTAAGGTGACCTGGTTTATACTAATTTTTTTGTTATTGACGTTATTTGTAATTTTTTTAAGTGGTTAAAGTTGGGTTAAAAATTAGTTTAAAAATCTAAAACTTTGGATGTAAATTTAAAATAATAAAGTAAGAAAAAATCTCATTTAAAAAAAAAATATGACTTTTCCTTACTTTTTAGGATTTGTTCTATTATTTTTTTTTTTAAGTGGTCAGGGATCAGGTTAAAAATTAATTTAAGAATCTGAATTTTTGGGAATACCTTCAATATAGTAAAAAAGTAAGAAAAACCTTGTTTGAATTTCTTTTTAATTGAGTTTTTCTCACTTTTTTAGGATTTGTTCTATTTTTTAAAAAAAAGTGGTCAGGGCTTAGGTTACAAATTAGTTTACAAATCTGAATTTTTGAAAGAACCTTCAGGATAGTAAAAAAGTAAGAAAAACCTCGTTTGAATTTTTTTTTTAATTATCAGTTTTTTCCACTATTTTAGGATTTTTGTGAGTACCTTCAAAATATTAAAAAAGTAAGAAAAACCTTGTTTGATTTTTTTTTTAATTATGATTTTCCCACTTTTTTAGGATTTGTTCTATTTTTTTTAAGTGGTCAGGGCTTGGGTTAAAAATTAGTTTACAAATGTGATTTTTTGAAATAACCGCCAGGATAGTAAAAAAGTAAGAAAAAACCTTGTTTAAATTTTTTTTTAAATTATAAGTTTTTTCCTCTTTTTTAGGATTCTTGGGAGTACCTTCAGGATAGTAAAAAGGTAAGAAAAAACCTCGTTAAATTTTTTTTTAAATTATGAGTTCTTCCCACTTTTTTAGGATTAGTTCCAATTTTTTTATTAAAAGTGGTTGGTTAGGTCAAAAATTAATAAAAAAATCTGAATTTTTGGGAGTACCTGATAGTAAAACAGTGAGAAAAAACCTCGTTTGAATTGTTTTTTTTAATTTTGAGTTTTTTCCACTTTTTTAGGATTTGTTATAATTTTTATATTAAAAGTGGTTGGGGCTCAGGTTAATAATTAATTTAAAAATCTGAATTTTTTGGGAGTACCTTCAGGATAATTTTTTTAATATTGACGTTATTAGCACATCTTTTTTCAAATAATAAACATTAAATTAAATAAATTTTGTTTATTTTTTGGAATGGAGAGGTGGGGCATGCTATGTCCTGGTTTTTTATTATAGAAAGTTGGTCACCTTATGTTAAACACACATTTTTAATTCACTTAATTCAAAATTAGATTTAATTTTTATGCTAAACTGGTGTTTTTAATTTAATGAATATAAAATATTTGCTTCTTAGCAGATATTTTATATTTATATATTTAGATTTTATGTGTATGCCAAACTAATATTTTTAATGTATTTAATTTAAAATATTTACTTCTTTTAATTGTTTTTTTTTGTGAAACACATTTTTTAATTTGCTTGATTAAAAATTAGATTTCATTTTTATGTGAAACATATTTTTAATTTGGTATATTTAAAATATCTGTTTCTTATACTTGTATTTTAGTGTACCTTCAAAATATTAAAAAAGTAAGAAAAACCTTTTTTTTTTAATTATGAGTTTCCCACTTTTTTAGGATTTGTTCTATTTCTTTTTTTAAAGTGGTCAGAGCTTGGGTTAAAAATTAGTTTACAAATCTGATTTTTTTGAAATAACCGTCAGGATAGTAAAAAAAGTATAAAAAAAACCTCGTTTAAATTTTTTTTTTAAATTATAAGTTTTTTCCACTTTTTTAGGATTTTTGGGAGTACCTTCAGGATAGTAAAAAAATAAGAAAAAACCTCGTTTGAATTTTTTTTTAATAATTAAAAAAGTGTGAAGAACTCATAATTATTATGAGTTCTTCCCACTTTTTTAGGATTAGTTCCAATTTTTTTATTAAAAGTGGTCGGTTATGTTAAAAATTAATATAAAAATCTGAATTTTTTAGAGTACCTGATAGTAAAACAGTGAGAAAAAAACTCGTTTAAATTGTTTTTTTTTTTAATTAAAAGTGGTCGGGGCTCAGGTTAATAATTCATTTAAAACTGAATTTTTGGGAGTAGGTACCTTCAGGATAATTTTTTTAATATTGACGTTATAAGCACATCTTTTTTTCAAATAATAAACATTAAATAAAATAAATTTTGTTTATTTTTTGGAAGGGCAAGGTGGAGCATGTAGTGTCCTTGTTTTTTATTTTAGAAAGTTGGTCACCTTAAGTTAAAGACACATTCCAAAGTGATATTTTTTATTTAGTTAATTTGAAATATTTGCTTCTTTTATTTTTATTTACTTAATTAAAAATATCATAGGAGAAATTCGATTTAATTTTTATTTTATTAAATAAGCAGATATTTTTAATTCTGACTGATTAAGAGTTTGGATACCCCTGTTATTCCAAACGCCACAAAAACCGACCCACTCTAACAAATTAACGTGTACTGCCCTTGTTCAGTACACGCTGATCATATCGATATCAAATATGAGTAATTTTTAAAATATATGTTTAAATAAAAAATATCACATGAACATGTTTAATCTGCGAATTTAAAATATCATAGCTATTTAAAAATGATTTAATTTTTATGCCAGATATTTTTAATAATATTATATAATATATATTATAATATTTCACAAATTTTGTGATAAAGCTGAACATATAAATGAGAAAATTAATTGTTTTGTTGAGCTTTTTGTTATTTATGTTATGTTACTTACTGTATTTATGTTATGTTACTCACAATAAAAACAAAAGAAAAGGACTTGCCTGCAATTGCCTCCTAAGCTGTCTTTTAGGAGCCTCGTCAGCTTCGAATCCCTGTACGGGATATGTCTGTGGCCGTCGGCCAAACTATTAATGCAATTCCCCAGGGCCAGCAGGGATTTGTTGATGTTGGCGCCCTCTGCGAAACGGGCCCCCACGCATCCGGTCGCAGATCCCCTCTCGCTTCCGGCCAAGTCGATCATGCTCAGCTTGGCGGTGCGAACCTCGCGCGTGCACCTCAAATTAAAAAAAAAACAGTTTTACAGTCTTTCACATTTTTTAACTTCCCCAGCAAACACAACCGTAAAGCAGTGGCGGATTGTGGATTTTGGGTATACCGAAATATCAGTTAGTAGACATGGGACCCACACCAAACTTATATGAGTTTATCTTGACATTAAATAGACAAGTTCTGCGCAAGCAGAATTTAAATTAAGATTTGCGAAAAAAAGTTTTTCTGCGCGCCTCACCAGCCCCCTGCTACGCCTAATTAAGATTATTCAAATTTAAGTGGTTCATAATTCACTAAAGTTTATCGAAAAATTTCAAAATTTGTTTTAAAAATCCAAGACACAGATTTTATACCATTTTTAATTTTTTAAATTTTAAGGAAAAATAAAAATTTAAAATGGTATAAAATCTTTAATTCTTAGATATTTTAAATAAATTTTGAAATTTGCTGATAAAATGTAGTGAATTATGAATTGCACCACTTAAATTTGAATAATCTTAATTGTGTGGCAAAATTAAAATATATTTTTACAAATAAGTTCACTTGATTTTTTTGGTAGATTGTCCTCTATAAAAAAGAAAACCAGGGTTTCTTTGCAATTATTAATTTGTTTTATTCACATTAGCCCTAATTTTGACTTTATCAATTAAACCTTTCTACTAAATTGTGTGGCGGTATTTTGTCTGTAATATAATTTTCTAAAATTTCTAAAATTAAAAATGCACCTACCAATAAGTAATTACTCATTTAAATTTAACAACCCATTAGGTATTGTTTTTTATGTGGTATAACACACTATTAAAACTACAGGAATAACACTGGGCTTCATTTTTTAAATATGGTGTTAACCAAAGGATAATTTAAGGTTTATGTAAGTTTTATATACAGAAAACATTTGGCACTTTAATGGTTTTTAAAAGTCCCATTAACTTTGCCATATATGGGTCTTTTATGGTAAAAAATACAAATATGAGCCATTGCAAAACCTTATCATGACAGCCTTTTATCAAAATTAATATTTTTATTAAAACATTCCTGTAAAGGCCCAGTATATGGAAAGCTTTGGCTAAAAATGCCATTATTAAGCCATGAAATGGAAAATTTTTTAGCATGCAACGCACAGCTAACGAAAATTCTACATCGAGAGAAAATCGACATGAGTGGGTACGCGTAAAAGTAGAGGGGATCATATTTGCTTGTTTGTTGGTGGCGTAAGAAATGAGTGGCTGTGCATGAGTAAGAGAGATATAAACAACATGGGTGTTAATGAAAAATGGTAGAAATTTGCAAATTTTACAAAAACTATTAATTTAAAATTCCCAAAATTACAAAATTTTCGAAATTTCTAAAATTCCCAAAACTACAAAATTTCAAAAAATTTAAAAAAATAATAAAAATAATTAATAAAATTTACAATACAAAATTCTACTTTCATTAATTATATGCGTGCACACATGCAGGATAAAAAAACAGTATAACTTATTGTAGATGACATAATAGAATTCTATGATAGGATAAAACATTCTTTGGCTTTGGTTTAGGTAAAAATAAGAAAATGTTAATTCCAAATAAATTAAATTTGCTGCCTTATTTGAATATCTTCCCTATCAACCATTATAATAGATATTTTACAGTGGTTTTTAAACTGAAATGTTAAATAACTACAAAACAACAATCAGTATTTAGAGGTGTTAGTTTTGTTTTTTAAATACATACCTTGTTGTCATTTGCAGATAAACCTGGAAAACTGCATGGGATCTGGAGCTTTCTGCATTTGCATCCGTAGGATGTTGAGTCCTATTTTTATTCCCTGATTCCAGCAACAAGAACAACTCATCTGGGCTCTCAATTCTGTGCACTTTAATCCCAGCCACCATCACCCCGTATTTACCGTCCTCCCTCAAATGTAAAGCTGGGCCTGGGTTTAACAAGTCTTGCACGTTTTCATTGTAAACTTCCAAATATGTGATTCCCAACTCAAACTCCCTTTCAGCATTTAACTCCTCCTTCTTTTTAAATAATTCAGCCATTGTCAAATAAGTTATTCCAGGACTTTCACTATTGCCAATCATTGTAAAGGTTTTACCAGCCCCTGTTGCCCCATATGCAAAAACTGAGCAATTAAAACCATCCATAAGGGAATTTATAAGTGATTGAGTGGTGTTAAGGAATATGTAATCATTGGGTAAATCGGGGCTAAAAACTCTGTCAAACATAAATTTTAAATCCTTATTGGATTTTCTCATTAAATCTCTGCCCCTTTGTTGAACACCATGGTAAAAAAATGGCTGAGATTCTTCTTTTGGGTCAAAAATCATCATTTGCTCATCAACGATTTTAATAACATTCCTACAAGAATAAAAAATTGATAAAAATCATGATTTGGCATAAAAAAAAGAAAATAATTTAATTTTTAATATTGTTAAATAATACTGATTAAAATTTGTTTTACATAAATACCTATTTAAATTTAAGTGATAATAAAAAAATCTTACTTGCAATTTTCTCCATGTTCCCTATCATTTAAGGGCCTCACTCGTACCACTACTTTTATATTGGCCCCTGTAGCAGCCCCGACAGGAACTGTTCTCGCTGTTTTAGGCCTAGTAATACTTAAGGGCCCCCTCCTTTTCAGAGGAGTCACCAATTCTTTCTTGCTTTTTACCATTTTACACGGATACCATTCACTTTATTCAAATTAACCCAACACTTACTGCATTTTTTGCTAAACAAAACGTCAATCACTCGAAATTGTCACTTTTATTTTTTACAAACACACAAACGCATTCGAATTTCCGTTACTTTTCAAACTTCAAAACAACGTTTTATCGGTAAAACAGAAAACGACACATACTTGGAAGTATGTGGAAAACGATGCCGATTTTGACATCTATCGGTAACAAAGTACAACTAAAAGTAAAGAAATCTGTATGTTATATTTAAGTACTTACAAACAAAAATAGATGTCATAGTTTTAAAATGTCAAAACAATAAATAAGAGGTTATTTTTTTGAAAATATGCTGAATTCTAAAAGGCTTGTATATGAGGACTATAACATTCCTTGCCAGCAGATGGCTACATACCTTCTGGGTAAAATTTTGGTTAGAAAGTTGGAAAACAATCAAATTCTAAAAGGCAAAATAGTTGAAACAGAATGTTACTTGGGAGGCGAAGACAAAGCCTCTCATTCCTATAACAACAAGTATGAAATTTAAACGGCAAGATAGGCATGTTTGTTATTGTAATTTTTTAGAAAAACCCCTAGAAATGAGCCAATGTTTATGTCACCTGGAACATGCTATGTTTACATGACTTATGGTATGTATTATTGCTTGAATATATCCAGTCAAGAACCTGGTGCAGCTGTTTTAATACGGGCTGTGGAACCACTTGAGGGTGTCAACATTATGAAGCAGTTTCGATTAGGTTGGTACTTAATAAGTTTTAAAAAACAACTATATTTTCTTATTTAAGAGAAGAAGAAAAAAATTATAAACAAATCACAAGAGTTATGCAATGGGCCAAGCAAATTGTGTATATCATTTAACATTAGCAAAGAAAATAACAAAGTGGATTTTTGTAATAATAATAATTTGTGGATTGAAGATCCTGATCATGAAGAGGAATTTAAAGTACTTAAAACAGCAAGAATAGGAATTGCCTCAGCTGGTGAAGAATGTGCAGGAAAAAAGTTGAGATTTTATCTTATGGGGAATACAAGTGTTAGTAAGAGGGATAAAATAGCTGAGAAAGACTTTATTTAAGTAATTTTGTTTTTTTGTTTTTTACTATACCTATAAAGTATAAATTAAAAACATTTGTTTTATTATTTAAATTTGGCGCCTTACAGTGACGCCAACCAAATAAACAAATGCTGACATTCTGTCATTTTCGGAAGAGCCGCAGTGGCGCCACGTTCGGTTCTTTTCCTTTTAATTCTTGACAAACATGGTGAGTGGAATAGAATATTCGCTTTTATTTTGAACATCCTTAAAGGAAATTAATAAATAAAGTAAAAATGTGCAACATAAAACGTGCGATTATCGGTGTGTATCAGTATTTTTGACGAATTTGTGATTTTTTTTCAGGGTATCGACATAAACCATAAACACGACCGTAAGGTTAGGCGCACAGAACCCAAAAGTCAAGATGTATATCTTCGACTTTTAGTTAAGGTAAGCCCCAAATTGTTTAAATAGTGCAAGGATTTCTAATAATTTGTTGTTGTTTTAGTTGTACCGTTATTTGGCACGTCGTACCGACGCCAAATTCAACAAGATCATCCTGAAGAGATTGTTTATGAGCAGGATCTACAGACCACCAATCTCTTTAGCAAGAATTGTACGTTTGATGAAAAAACCTGGACGCGAAGGTTTAACTGCAGTTGTTGTTGGAACTGTAACTGACGACTCCAGAATTTTCGAATGCCCAAAACTCTCCATTTGCGCTTTGAGAGTCAGCCAATCTGCTCGTGCAAGAATTCTTAAAGCTGGTAAGTAACTCTCAAATTTGCCTTAAATGTCTTAGAGCTCTGTTAGTATCTTTTCCCAAACTATCCTTATTTCTCACATGTTTGACATTTCTAGGTTAGTTTTTGTTTTACAAATGTCACCAAGTTCTTTTGTTAACCCAAGTAACTTGATATAACATTTGTAGATAATGCCAGGCTAAGTTTGTTTTTGTTTTTAAGGTGGTGAAATTTTGACTTTTGATCAGTTGGCATTGAAGGCCCCGACTGGCTCAAAGACTGTCTTATTGCAAGGCAGGCGTAACGCTCGCGAGTCTGTTAAACACTTTGGACTTGCTCCGGGTGTGCCACACAGCAACTCCAAACCATTGATTCGTTCCAAGGGTCGTAAGTACGAAAAGGCACGTGGTCGCAGACCATCATGCGGTTACAAGAAATAGATTAATGTTAATGTATTTTTTTTACTGTTATTTCTCATTATGCTTTTTAATAAATTTTGAGGAATAGCTTATTACTGAATTTTATTTTTTTATTGTTTACACCCCTTACTTTTTCATTGACACTATAGTACAAAGATGGTTCTATATAAAAATATAGTTGTTTTTTTTAAATAGGTAGGTAAATCTTCAGTTGTAGTAATAATGACTAAGAAAAATAATTTAAATTATTTATTAATACATAACAAAACTAAAAAAACATACCTAGTAAGTACTTAAAATACTTTATTTTTGGAATTTAACAACTAAATCTTGTATAATTCTAATTTCTATAGTGTTCCAACTGGTTGAATTAATTTGTTAAGAAAAATGTTTATTGTTTATAAATATTTAAACTTAAAATCCTATTGGTTTGAATAACATGTTTTAATTTAATTTTTGCATTACTATTGGATAAAACTGCAGTAACATGGTCAAGATATACATCATTTGTTTCAATATTGCCTTATCAATAATTGCTACCTCAGTTAGGCCCCTAAATTGTGTTTTTATGAGTTTTATAATCATTTTGGCTTCTACAAATAGATGGTTTAATGCTAGCAAACAATTTAAATTCTGGTGTCAAGACTTATAGACGAACTGGTTTAGTAGAAAATTGTACCTACCAGACTGGTAGTACCAGTGGCGGCTGGTGGATTTTGGGTATACCAATATTTCAGTTATTAGACATGGGACCCACACCAAATTTATATTAGTTTATAATGACATTAAATAAACAAGTTCGGCGCAAACAGAATTTAAATTGATGTTTGCGAAAAAAAGTTAGTTTTTCCTGTCGCCTCACCCCCCTCCAGGCCCCCCTATTTGAGATAATTCAAATTAAAGTGGTGCAATTTATTATCTACTATAATTTATCGACAAATTTAAAATTTTATTTAAAAAATCCAAATATTACAGGTTTTATACCGTTTTAAATATTTTTTTATTTTAATAAAATAAATAATAAAAATTTAAAATCGAATAAAATCTGTAATATTTGGATTTTTTTAATAAAATTTTAAATTTGTCGATAAATTATAGTAGATAATAAATTGCACCACTTTAGTTTGAATTATCTCAAATAGGGGGGGCTGGAGGCGGGTGAGGCGACAGGAAAAACTAACTTTTTTTCGCAAACTTCAATTTAAATTCTGTTTGCGCCGAACTTGTTTATTTAATGTCATTATAAACTATTATAAATTTGGTGTGGGTCCCATGTCTAATAACTGAGATATTGGTATACATAAAATCCACCAGCCGCCACTGGTACCTACTTGACTGTCAAGTCTTGACAAGTCAAGTCTTGACAGTCAAGTACAATTTTCTACCAAACCAGTTGTTCTATTATTATTATCCACTACTAATTTCTCAGTTTTTTTATCGTACCAAATTTTACATCAAAGTTTACAAAAAACCTTACCCAATTTTTTAAACTACAGTATCGGCCACAACAACTGTAAAAATCTTACTTTAAAACGCCTTTATTAATCTTTATAAAATTTTGGATAAAAATACTTCAACTTATAGTTTACATGTCCGAGGGTTTTTCGAGAAAATATTTTTAAAGCCCTTTTATTTAATAATGAAAAAACGTTAAAAAAATAACTTGCAGGGAAATTTTTACATAAAAAATATATATGTAGGTAAATACCTTAAAGAACGTACTTTTGTTAGTATACCCTGAAAATTTTGTACAAATCAAATGAACAGTAACGAAGATATTCAAAGTCGTCAAAAATGACCACTTTTCAGCAAAATAATCAAAAAGGGGCCATTTTTACCGACTTTGAAGCGCTGTATCTTCGTTGCTGTTCATTTTATTTGTACACAATTTTTAGGGTATACTAACAAAAATACGGCTTTTAACTGCAAATTTTTTTTAATAAAAAAAAAATCCAAAAATTTATTTTTCAAACGTTTTTTCATTGTTAAATAAAAGGCCTTTAATAATATTTTCTCGAAAAACCCTCGAACACATAAACTGAGATATAAGTTGAAGTATTTTTATTCAAAATGTTATTAATAAAGGCGTTTTACAGTTGCGGAATACTGTATATTATGAAAACGTCGCACCAAACAAGGCCACCTGTTTTACCGACAAAAACATAACCTCAAAAGATATATAACCTAAAAAATGCACGCAGTCTTAAAATGAGTAAACAAGCGAATTTCGAGGTAATTGTTGGGACATACGAGGAGTATTTGCTGGGGTACAACTTTATAGCGAAGGTAATAATCATAGAAACACCAAAATCACAAAAAGTATAAATATATTGTATTTTTAGTCATCAGAGATAATTCAAAGTTTCGCAGCACACGACCACAGCAGTAGCGTGCGTTCTTTGGCCCATGCGGGAAACTTTTTAGCGTCTGGGGGGGCGGACGACAGGATTTTTATCTATGATTTAAAAGTTAGGAAGGAACACTGCATGCTTACACACCACAACTCGACTGTAACATGTTTGCAATTTACAGAAAACCATTCGCATATTCTATCAGGCAGTAATGATGGCGTGCTGGCGATTGTGAGAACTGGCAACTGGCAGTTGGAGAAAATATGGGAAAAGCCACACAATGGTAATAAATATTTACAAGTAAACCTTATTTTTGTTAACATGTTTTGAAGTTTTGGTAGTAATAGTCATTTAAATTCATTATTTATTTTTTAAGGAGCTGCAATATTGGATATAGCAGTGCATTCATCTGGAAAGTTAGCATTGACTCTGGGCTCTGATTGCAGCTTACGAACATGGAATCTGGTTAAAGGTAGACAAGCCTACATTATAAACTTGATGAATAAAAGTAAGGAAGCCAAAAGTTTAGAAAAGATTGCCTGGGGACCAGACGGCATACACTTTGTTTTATATGGAGGAAAAAACACTGAAGTTTGGAGCATTGAAAGTGGAGGCATCATAAAAAGCATAGAGCATGAAACTAAGGTGTGCACATGTATTTGGGGCTCGGATAAAGACATAATTGTGGGTTTGGAAGATGGAAACATTGTTATATGCACTTTTGACACAGTCAAACTAAATAAGATTAAAGCACATGAAAGCAGGGTTAAATGTGTTGTTGCTTTTAAGGAGTTTTATGTTTCTGGTTCGAGCACAGGGGAGATTAAGGTGTGGAATAAGGAATTTGAAGAGCTGGCAAAACATGAAACTGGTTGTAGGATTACTTGTCTTTGTATTGTGCCTAAATTAAAAACCAAAGTAGAGGAACCTGCCAAGGAAATTGAGCCCAAAAAGGTTGTAGCACCTCAGCAAAAACCCAGGACAAAAGTCATAGTTGAAATAGAGGAGAGTGATGAAGAAATTGTTGAAAAACCCACAAAAAAGAATAAAAGAAAAAGTAACAATGGCGAGAAAACTGAAAAACTAAAGAAAAAGAAGACACAAATTGAAGAGCAACCTAAGAAAAAAAAAGGCAAAGTAAAAAAAACGTAATTGTAGTAAAATAAAACTTTATTTTATATCACAGATTTCTCACTTCAGTTGTCCAATATGATAATAAAGGCATGTCATATTTGTGTACACCCAAAACTTTTAACAATTCCTCACTATAAACATTACAACAAGCTATATCACAAGATATATTATACCATTGATAAGAAAAGCTAGCCAAATATGATTCCAAAGCTTCATCTGGCAAATTTTCACTGTTTAACCCTTCCTCTATTAAATTTAAGAGTGTTGGGAGTTTTAAAGGTAAATTACCTTTCCAGTTCACTTTCCAAGCATCATTTTCTTTTACTAGTACACATGCTTCACCCGTCTGGGGTAGTTTGAATTTCTTTGGCAATAATTGTTGAAATAGTTTTAATATTTCTGTATCTTTAGATTCCACCTTAATTCCTGTCAAAAAACAGTATAAAACCTTCTTAAAATCTCTATTGGATATCTCTTTGTATAATTTTCTTAACATAATAGCTCCATTACATGATATAGGAACCTCAAGTATGTTAGGTTTAATTTCCTCCATGACATTAACACTTAACAAATAGACAAACCACATGTGAATTTGCAAAAATATTGATGAAACTCCTGTTAACTCTTGCAGAGATCTTCCAGTACAGCCTACATCATTGTTATTTGTTACATTTAAAAATAATAAAAACAGAACTTACTTCTTGTGGATTGTTGAGAAGCTTGCCTTGCAGCTTTCTGTGAACAAGTAGCCTGTTCCAAATTATTAACCTTCAAAGCTTTCTCCTTTAAATCACTTGCAATAACCTCAAAATGCTTTGTAATATGCCTCCAATGGTTTAATAGATGTACCCGATCGCCTGACAAAAGAATCAAACAATATTTCCTTTTAAAGCCCCTTGCCTGTGAATCTGCTACGTAAAAAGTGTATGTTACGACGTGGCCTCTTTGATCGTCCCCAAAATACATCAGGCCGCCCTCCTTACCCATTTCCTGCAAGAAAATCCATAGAAAAACAAAAATATAGCAGTGTAACATACCTCACAACTTATGCTTCTTACTGCTGCATTCTTTAACAAAAACGCTACATCTTCTTTCAAAGGTATTCTAGATGATACATAATAAACATTTTCATCCTCACTTACAACCGCTTCTTCTAAATCAATGGATTTGCAAGCTTCGCAAACGGGGCTGTTTAAAATATGCGGGGGCTTTTCCTGTGGCTCGCAGTCGGTTTTCTGCGTCGCCAATATAACAATTGGACCGTGGGACTCGCAGAAATGCCCCAACGCCACTATCCCATCCATTTTAACGAGTTTAAAATTAAAAATAGATTTGTTTTCGTAGAAACGTCATAGTGACAGTTAAAAGTAGGGTTATTGTCTGTGTTCATAGACGTAACCTCACAAATTCATGATGGACGAGATAAACAAAGATGTGGAGGATTTGGATTTAAGCGAGGATAATGACGAGACCGACGAAACTAGTGATGAAGAAGAAGGTTTTTGTTAATTGTTTGCAATATTTAACTGTTTTTATGACGTATTTTATAGATATTCCTTCATATCAAGTGGCTATGTGGGACTTCAATCAATGCGATCCAAAGAAATGTTCAGGGCGTAAATTGGCACGCATGGATCTTGTTAAAAGCCTTAAAATAAAACAAAAGTTTCCTGGGTTGGTTTTAACGCCCACAGGTCAGCAATGTGTAAGCCCTCAAGATAAAGACATTGTAGAAACAAAAGGCATAGCCGTAGTTGATTGTTCGTGGGCTCGAATCGACTCTACACCAATAGCAGCGCTTAAACCGCAACACGGTAGATTACTGCCATTTTTGGTAGCCGCAAATCCCATAAATTACGGCAGACCTTGTCAGTTAAGTTGTGTGGAGGCCATAGCTGCCACAATGTACATAACAGGGTATAAAAGTCATGCCAACCTTTATTTGAGCAAGTTTTCCTGGGGACATTCTTTCATAGAGCTGAATGAGAAGTTGTTGGATATATATGCTGGGTGTACAGACAGTGCCAGTGTTATAAGGGAGCAGAATAAGTATATTGAAGAGGAGCAAAAACAACAGGAAAAAGACAAAAATGGTAAGGAAAATATTTCCCCTAAGGGGGGGAGGGGTTATTTTGATTCTTTTCAAGAATTATTTTCTCCAAAATTAAATATTTTTTTATATATAGGCCTGTTTATTTCTGCATTTTGCCGTCGAATCGTGCCAATTTGACAATATTATTGTCACATTGATATTTTTTTTATTGAATAAAAAAAATATCAATGTCAAATTGACACTCTTCTTTCGACAATATACAAAAACAAATCGAAAATTTAGAGCTCTACCCTTGGCTCTAATGGTTTTACAACCGAAAAAAACACCACTTGATATATTTCGAAATGTGCAAAACCCTGTATAAAATTAAAATAATTTTTAAATGTAATTCAATATCTAATGAATGTCTTTCCATTTAATGAATAACATTTATTAAAAACGGTACATTCTAGCTGTTATATTATGTCCCAAATACCGTGAATAAGATTTTTTGGTATCGCACAAAAATGACTTGATCTGAAAAAACGCCGAGACACGGTGCGTAATCTGACTAAAGAATCTTAAGTAAAGATGGAATAAAATTTAATAAGCCAATTTATATATTAATTATGAATATTTAATTTACTTTGCCCCCTGTCAGCGTCACGAGATTAAAAGACGTCCCACAAGTATAGAAACTTGACTGTCCATGTATCCTTGACTTTAAAAATGACAAATGAAAGATGTCAAAAATAGTCCATGGCAGATGTCATAAAGAAGCCAAGGCACATGTCAAAAAGACCGTGGCCAGGGCACATGTCAAAAAATGACATAAGTAATAATGACAGTTAAAAGATGTCAAATAATAAGAATAAATCAGTTTAATAACGCTCGCTTACGCGTTACGAAATTTTCTTTATTTATTTTGCGTTCATAATGACTTCATTATAACACCGCTTTCGGTGATGTAACGAGATACTTTATCCCACCCATAATATTTTGCATTGGTTATAATATTTTTATGATTTTTCTAGTACTTACAAGACTTTTCTGGCAATAAATTTTGTTTCAAAGAAAATTCTTTTAATTAATTAATTAATTAATTAACAGCCGCTTATTGTGCATAAGTAAATTAAGGACGGCATGGCGAATCGATTTTGACATTAACTGTCAAACCAATGACTGTGATACCAACTATCTAAAGCTAGGATCAGACGGTGCAAATTCTTGCAGCAACTTTGTCGCGGCAACCAGGTTGCGGCGATTTTTTGTTGTTCACACAATGAAACTAAGCAGTTGATCAAACTTGTCCTAAAATAGAACATGTTCTATTTTTCATGCAATAAAGTTGCGGCGACTTAGTAACTTTTCTAGGGGTTTACGAATTTTCACTAAAAAATAAGGTTGGTACTTAATATTTGTCAAATGGAATGACAGATAACAACCTTATTTTTAAGAGTGTGTAGTAGTCTATGGTGTATATCCTACACAAATTTTCAGTTTAAGCGTCGAGTGTTTATAAAAATGAGCTCTCAGGGTTTTACGTGGGACCAACCATCAACCCGTTTGTTAATTCTCCTTTATGAGGCAAACCCAAATCTATATTCAACAAACAACCCCAACTATAAGTTGAAAAATAAACGGCAAGATGCCCTCAAAAATATTAGATTGGGTTTAATTGAAAATGGGTTTAGTCCAACTATTGAAGAAATTAATAAAAAAATTCATAATTTACGCACCCAATTCTTTAAAGAATACAGTAAAGTGAAAAAGCGTGTTGTAAGTGGGGCTGGCACATCGGACTTATATGTGCCAAAGGTATGGTGGTATGACTACCTTCAATTTTTAATAAGTTCTGACCCTGTTAGAAAATCCAGTTCAAATTTAAATGAACCGGGAAGCAGTAAGACAGACAGTGAGCCTATCTACATACCAAACAGTCCTGAAAGCTCAAGCGTGAATGAAGAAATAGAGAATATAGTGTATGAGACAACAATTGAGGAACTTGAAGAGGGTGTGTATGTGCCACATGTTCGACAAAAACCAAAAAGACAAAAAAAATCCTCAATTGAAGAAGAAACAAAAGGAATTTTAAAGGATGCTGCAAATGCTTTAAATGTTATTTCAAATAGCAAAATAGGATTTAATGAATGTAAGGCTTTTACTGAGTAAGTATTTTACAACAAAACTTAAAAAATAATTTGTATGGCAACATTTTTTTTCAGCATGATTGCAGAAGAAATGACAAAAATAGACAGTGAAGAAGAACTTAGAACTGTCAAAAGACAGATTCTAAATTGTGTTCTTGATGCGCAGGAGAGACTTCAGCGTTCAAAAAATTAGTATGTTTATTATAAATATAGGTTTATTTTTGTTTAAAAGAGTAACCGTTGCCTTAAGTAACAAACAGCAAAATTACAATATTAATAAAGGACAAAAATATTTGGTGTTGTAAGTAACAATCAACATCTTTTGTCCTTTATTACTTAATATTGGAGTTATGCCGTTTGTTACTTGAGGCAATGTAATATTCTTATGTACGTGCAAGCATGTGTGCTAATTTTTTTGTACTCTTCTTAAAGAATAAGCCTGTTTTAATTTATTTTAAGATTAATATATTTTTTTATAAAGATTTATTTTTGTTTGAGAAAATAATATTTTCAATTTTTTGTTTTTGTACAGTCTGAAAAAGTTAAGGCTGTGCTTAAATGTTTTTATTTTGAGATTTTCTATTATTTTAATAAAACATATTTATCATTAGGCTTTAAGTGTTATTTTTTAACAAAACCCAATAAACTTCTGTTTATAAGAATATATAATTTTTAAAACTTTATTGGTCTTATTTTTTAATATTGGAAAAAATAAATAAATAATTTTATCTTTCAATTTTATATTTTTAAACAAATTTAACTTAATATATTTTGTACTAACAAACATTCTTGATAAAAACAAATAAAACAATCTTATTTCTAATATTCTATACTCATAAAATAATGTTCTTTATTATATCATTGTATAGCAAAAACTTAAGCAATATTATTTTGCCACTCAACTGCACCTTCTTCATTTAAATAGTTCATGAATTCATTTCTCACATTTAGTGCCTCACCTCTTGCTCTGTTTCCCCCTTGTTGACCCAAGCCATAAATAAATTGGTATTCTTCATCAATTTCTTCCATTCCTGGGCATTCAGTCAATAAAAAATTATTTAATACACAGCAAGTTTCTGTGATGAGTTGAACCTTTTCAGGGGCTAAATTTATGGTAGTCAATAGCACTCTAAATCTATTGGCCAATATGCCAAAAGCATTCTCTACAACCCGTCTAGCTCTACTTAATCTATAATTAAATATTCTTTGATTCCAATTCATGTTTCTTATTGGGAAAGGTTTTAAAATATTCCTTTGCAAGGGAAAAGCTGCATCTGCCACAAAAACAAATGGCATAGGAATTCTGCGGCCTGGCAAGGGTCGTTCTTCAGGGATATTGATAGTGTTATTGTGAATTGCCATACATAAACTGCTTTTCTGAAATACTCCTCCATCAGAAACCCTGCCATTTGTCCCACAGTCAATATATGAAAATTTATATTTGGCATCTACAACTGCTAGTAAAACAATGCTATGGCACTGCTTATAATTGTAAAATGCCGAACCCGCTTGTCTTGGTGCATTAAAAACTATGTGCTTCCCATCCATTGCCCCCAAAACATTTGGAAAATTCCATAAATTATTAAACTCTTCTGCAATATTCAGCCATTCTGCTGCAGTAGTTGGGGCCTAGATAAATATAAAATTTAACAAAACTATTTATATTAGGTAAATTATAAATAAAACTTATTTACCTTTAAATATTTAGGTTGAAGTCTAGTATAAATTGCCTTGCAAACTTCGGGGATTATTGTTGATATTGTTGAACGCCCTATTCGAAAGTAATATTGAAGACTTCTGTATGACTCTCCTGTTGCTAAGAACCTTAGGGTTATTATTAGTCTATTTTTAGGAGATATCGAAGTCCTCATAAGGGTCGATTCTTTTTTAATATCATCTTGTACCATTTCCAAAAGTAGGCAAAATGTTGGCTTGTCCATCCTTAGAAAATTTTTATAACTTTCATAGTCCTCGGCAGCCTCAAACTCTTCATTTACTAAAGAAAATGCTCCTTTGGTATCCCTTTGCAGGATCCATGGCCTCACCCACCACTTTCTCTGTTTCTTATTTTTTAAGTTTAATAGTAAAACAGCACACCCTATCACTATTATGCTAGCGACTATAATACTATTTTCATCCATATTTGCAATGATAATACAATTCCGTTTAATAAAACATTAAATGTTTGTTATTGTTAATAATAATAAGCACTACCATTTATTTAATCTATGCACTAAACACTTTTAACATACATTTAAATCAGAACAGGTATTTTTATTTTTCCCCTTAGTAATTTTCGGAAAAATTGGCAATCCTGGTGGAAAATTGCGCCAATTTAGTTGGTTCGTGTGAATACCTTGTGTGCAACAAAATCGCTGCAACTTGTTGCAGCGATAAAGTCGCCGCGAGAGGCTGCACCGTCTGATCCTAGCTTAAAGTAAAATTCGACCAAATTAAATTTAAGGTATAAAATTAATTTTTTTATAGAATTTCTGCAAAATAGGATAAAATATCATATAGAACTCATGTCATAAGACCTTTTGTCGCACTCGTCCATAAAATTGTCCGCGTGCGACAAAATGACGTCTTTGAACATTAGTTCTTAATATACTATTCTTTCTTATAAGTATACTTATGCACAGCCACAAGGGTTTTAAATTGTCCGGAAAATATGAGCCGGCGAAAAAAAAATTGGGAAATTTTCAAAAAAATTTATTAGTGGGTAATTTTTACGGGTAACACGGTACACTGATATCGAGAAAAAAGTAAATTTTGGTTATAATCATAATTTTATGATTATAATAATTATTCCTTTTATTTTAATTTAGTTACAGTATATTTCATGTGTATGTTTATGTTCTTAAATCAATTTAATTTAATTCAATGTTTAGTTTTCTTTTTGTTAGTAATAAAGGATATTTCTTTAAAATTAAAATAATGTTAAGTTGTCAATTGCTAATTTTAAATGTCTATTTTTCCAAGGCCTGTAAAAAAAAACGGAAAAAACATTTTTACCCAATTTTTTTTCGACACTTTAAAACCCTAACAGCCACTCATTCCTTACGCCACAAACACATAAGGGCATATGATCCCCTCCTTTACATTCACGCGTCCCCAGTCTCATATCGATTTTCACTTCGAAAAATGCTGTGGACTTGATAAGCTATTTTTTAAACTAAAATGATAAATAGGTTAAAAATTGTATATTTTTTATCATTGTGTTATTGCACCATTTTTATTTTACTTTATTTATTTTTTAGCATTGCCAGACTTTCCAGAGAGCGAAAGTTCAGAAGAGAGTGAATAAATAAAACGCAAATATCATATAAATAAAAATTGTTATATTTATTAATTTAATAAAAAAACCTTAATACTTAAGATGCAGTAGTTTCTTCGATATTTAAGTGCGCTATAAACCTCAACCTCCGTTGCAATTGAGGCCTCAAACCTCTCACCACAGTCTCCAACTCTTTCTTCATGCAATCCCCGACAAACATATACTTAATGTGGTACAACAAGTCGCATATTTCGTCCATGTATTTGTACTCCTCGATGGTCTGGTCAACTTGAGCCAGCAACTCGTACAAGCAGTTGGTCAAGTTGACGATGTTCGCGTTGAATCGCTGCAGAAACGGCCCGACCAAGTGGCAGACGAAGAGAAACTGCTCTTCGGTTCGCACGACGGCCGGCAGATGGTCCTTGACCCACCGGGGAACCCCGTTAATTTGTCCGGGACCGGCGTGGTGCCAGACCGAGTGCGCAAGCGCCAACATGTACGTGTACTCGTTGTGCAGTAACCCCAAATGACACTCCTGGAAGTTGAAGAGTCTAAACAAAGAACAATCGAACGACCAAGTGTTGAGCTTCGAGATTGTGGACACTAATCTGTCGTGCAGCACGTTAAAGAAACTGCCTGGAAGTGCCGAGAGTATTAAACCAATGGCGTTTATCCATTGGTGCATCTCAGAAGAAGGTACTGTTACAAAACCTATATAAAGAATCGTAATGTGAAAAAAATATACACTCACATGCAAAATAATCGATCCACACAAATTTTCGATGAATTTCAATGGCAAATAACTTTTTTATTTGATGTCGGATTTAAACGAATATTTAAGAATATTGTAGATAAATTAATGGACAATCGCTCACATTTTAAAAAAATACTTAAAAATAGACGTACGTTTAAACAAAAAGATGTTTTTTACCTTAAGTTTAAGACACTCTGTAGAGTGGCAAAACCGTATATTGTTCTAAATTAAGTTTTATTTATCAAGTCATATCTATTCTTAACAGTTTTGTTTTTGGCCACCTCAATATATTTATTTATGTGGAAAATATGGATTTTTAAAAAAAAACAGCAATTTCCAATATTTATCTGTATGAAGAACTAAGGTTGCTATGGTCCATCCATAGGCTATGGAGAATGACAATGACAGTTTTGTTGAATCATCCCATACTTTGACATGTCATACACGGCTTTCAAAACCTATCAAATTGTTTTTTGCAAATTAATGTTTAAATTTTGAGGTGTCTTCTTACTTTAAAAAATGGATATGTCTCCGACTGATGTTGCCAGAGCCATTAATTTAATCCAGGATGGACGGTTACAGTATTACATAGCAAATGTTTTAAACGTCACAAGAAGTAAAGTACAAAAACAATTTTATAGCTTTTGAAAGCTGTATATGACATCTCCAAGTATGGGATGATTTAACAAAACTGTCACTGTCATCCTCCATAGGCTATGGATGGACCATGGCAACCTTAGTTCTTCATACAGGAAAAATATTGGAAATTGCAATGTTTTTTTTAAAAAATCCATATTTTCCACAAAAATAAATATTTTAAGGTGAACCAAAAACAAAACTGATAAAAATAGATGTGACTTGATAATTAAAACTTAATTTAGAACAATATAGGGTTTTCCACTCCACAGAGTGTCTTATGGTAAAAAACTTTTTTTTTGTTTAAACCTGTATATTATAAACGTACGTGTATTTTTTAGTAATTTTTAAAACTGTGAGCGATTCTCCAATAATGTATCTACAATATTATTTAATATTTGTTTAAATCCGAAAACAAATAAAAAAGTTATTTGCGATTGAAATTCATCGAAAATTTGTGTGGATCGATTATTTTGCCTGTGTGTATAATCGTTATAAATTAAAGATTACCTTTAATAACAACGTCCAAAAGTCCATTAGCGACCGCGGTGGGTCCAGATGATAAAGCCATTAATTCCACACATGTTATGTATAAAATGTGTGCGCCGGAGTTAGGAAATTCGTTGAACCTCCAGTCGGTCATGGAATGTTCAGATGTGCCTGAAAATGTTAATATTGTTCACAATTGAATTTTAAACACGTATTCCTGAGGTTAAATAACAAAGACTACCAACACCAGTGCCGGTTTATCCAAGGGCCTCAGTCCATATGGGCCCAAAAAGTTAGAGTTTTTGTATTTTTTAAAACAAAACTTGTTTTTATAAACTGATGCGCAAAATGAAAGCACCACTTTTTGAATTATCTTTAAAATTTTAATAAAACATCTAGAAACTTCTCCTTTAGATATTTTGTAGCCTAAAGTTTGCCAAAGGGCGCAGTTTTTTCAGAAATAAGCCCTTTAAACTACCCCCATGCCTACGGTAGTTTTACTAACAATTTTTGATTGTAACGGACGCTACAAAAATTCCCGAGTAGCGTGGAATAGCTGTTCTTATAAAAACCATGTACAATTAATTAAAAATGTTTGTATAGGAATGTTATTTTTTAAAACAAGAAGAAGTTTTTATGCTATTCCCCTATGAAAATTTTACTACTGGGTATTTCCATTGTAACGGGTGCGACACTAAAACTGCGTTTTTTAATGATAATAAAGTGTTTGTTCATATATCAAGATACGTTAATATAAAAAAATAGTATAAAAAATTGAGTATTTAACTCAAACAAAATGTCAATAAAAACTTGTATAAAAAACCTTTTATAACGTCATGAATAGCGTAACGGGCGCGACCTTGGAAAATCGGCAAATTCGACCAAGTTCGCTTCTAAAGTTGATACTGTAAAATTTTGGATGAAAGCATATAGTAATAATTTTTTGTGTAGAACTTGAATAGTAACCTTAAGCAAGCAAGTATTTTAAATGCACAAATATTGTATACTTTATTTTCTAAAATTTTCTCAAAATTAACGAGCGCAACATTTGAAGATTTTATCGAGTATTGAAACTCTTCCGTGTTTATTCTTAATGTTAGCTTCTTAGCTTTACAATGTACGAATATTTTAAGGTTATAAATTACGACGCAAACTATTTAACTAACTATAGTTGTTATTTTGTTAAATAACACATCTGATTTTTTGTCAAGGTGAGGTAAGGTTTCGTGGAAATACCCTACTTCTATCTTATTTTGATATAACTATATTTTTTTTAAATTTCTGTGCACCCTGTACATATAATTAATTTTTTTATGGAAGTTTAAATCAGATATTTTCATAAAGAATTTATTTTTCCATAATGCGAACTTCTAGGTTTTTAGTTTTTCTTAGTTTTTGAGCACCCTGTACATTTAATTTAAAAAGTTTGTATAGGAAACAATCAGGAGTTTTTAAGAAACATGTTTATTTTTTCGTAACAATAAAAAACTTTTTTCTATTGTCAACCCAATCCGTGGACATACTGTATAATATACAAAGTACAGTGTGACCCATTTGTTTGCGACTCACCCTTGTAAAATCTTTGTGCGATTGTGCAATTTTAACCGGATTTGTTTTAAAGTGTAGATCTTGTTAAACTATTTTTTGAGCAAAAAACGCCATATTTGTACAAAATACAAGGTCTACTATGTCAGTTTTTAAGAGTACATTTTTAAGAATTCATATTGGCGATTTTTTTAAACAAAATCTAATCACGTCACTGGATTCACCACCCCTTAAAACGACCCTTCACTAAATTTTATTGAAAAATTTTAAGTAGAAAAATGCACAATAATAACTACAAAAATTTATTCTGTCAAGTTATCCATGAAAAAAAACATTGAAATAAAATTAAACATTACTATAAGTTTAATTTTATTTCAATGTTTTTTTTCATAGATAACTTGACAGAATAAATTTTTGTCGCATAAAGGCAGATGGATTTTTATAAAGCTGGAACTGGAGGTTCATATTTTCGAATGCACTAGATTACTTACATTCCATTTATTATTTGAAATTACACAAACTTGACAATATGTAACTTAAAAAACGCCTTATTTTTGACATTTAATCCAAAAAAGACATTTTAAAGTTGTATTTGTACTCACCTTTATCCATTCTATAGATTTTTGACACTAATTTTCACAATTGAATCGGTGAGATTAAGAACAGTCCAAAAGTTAAAATTTTGAAGAAATATTTAAAAAAATCAGGTTTATAGTTCTAAATGCACTTTTGTGAGAATATTTTAACTATTTTATAAATTATAATATTCCTGTAAAATGATTTATATATTCTCACAAAAATGGATTTTAAACATTAAAATTGATTTTAGAAAATGACTTGTCAAAATTAAATTTTTGGTCTTGTACATTTACGCAACACCTTTTTTAACACGAAAATTACAAGATTCCGTAAGAGTAAGAGTATTTTTGACGCATGCGCAGTGACTTCTACTTCGTAGTTTAAAATCGTAGGTAATAATCTGTCAAGAACAATAAATTAAAATTATTAAAATTAAAATGCGTTTTTAAGGTGTTTTAAAATTTGGTTTTTGCCGCGTAAATTTACCAACACAATCAAATGTGACAAATTAAAAAAAAATCAAAGTTTTCATTACCTCTAAGCACTTCGACCACTTTCCTAACTTGCTGAATATAATAATCCAACTCTGGGATCCACAATTCATCGATGGGCCTCAAAAGAAAAGCTTGGTATTGCGCTGACAAGGTCTCCTTGTGATTTCCTAGAACAAAAAGCACCGTAAAAACCGTCAAAGTTTTTTTTCTAGTCGACAAACCTAAGACGGCGGCAACCAGCCGTCTCTTCAAGGGCGGCCTCTCGCTCAAATTGCTCTCGTAGTAGTGAAAGGTGTTGTACAGGTAGGTGACAGGTCTGTCGTGGAACTTGTACATGCAGCCTAGGTGCTCGAGCAGTATCTCGATGCTCTTTTGCACCTGCACGATCTCGATGAAGCGATGTATGACGATGTCGAAGACGGGCAAAAATCGCAGGCACACGTTGCCAAAGTACGGGTGATAGACGCTCGACTGCTCTTCGGGCGCGATGTTTTCCGGAAACTTGCGATGAAACTCGAGGTGCTTCTCGTGCCAGTTGGTCTGGTTCCAGTGGTCCGGCGAATTGTCCTTAACGAAGTCTTGCAGCCTAAGATTAAGTGTTTTTTTAAGTGAAACTTCTTTCTGTGCGGTAGAGCAAAATCATTTTATGGAACTTGCTATGTAACGTAAGAAAACGTAAACGTAAACGTAAAAAGTAAAACCAAGACTGTAGGAAGAAAAACTTTCTTTTATTTCTGTTACTTTTTCCAAAGAATTTTTGTTTTACATATTTCACTTTTATTTATATCGAATATTTTTAAAATAAAACATTTCTTTTAATATTTTTTATTAAGACGTGTACTAAATTTTCTTTTATTTTTAGCGTGCAAAAAAATAGATCAGCTTTGGTATTTCACTGTTTTAGTAAATCTAATATGAGAATACCATCCCACATATACTTTTTGCACTCCAAAACAAGAACATTTAGTACACAAAAAGTATCACACGGCTTTTATAAATATAAAAGCAACATTTTATCAACATTTACAACATTTTTAAAATAAATATGCAATGAACTGTAAATATTTTGAAAATATTTCCAGATATTTTTGTGATGTTGAGGTTTATTTAGCAAAAATATTTATTCAATATTTTAAATATATTTTTGTGTTCCCCCGGGGAACTAGACGCTTGTGTTCCTTTCAATTAGTTTTAACGGTTATAATTAAAACATAATACGGTAAATTCGCAGTTAAAATAAAAAAAAGGTATGACAAATTTAAATTATTATTAGTTTGAAATTAAAAAAATTGTGGGAGAAATTCGAAAACTAGTTCAAAATTAAAAAATGTTGGGACAAATTCACACAGTAATTTGAAAGTACAATAATATATATTAGGGTTGTATAATTTTGACATTATAGTGGTTTTTACTTTCTAAATTAAGTATTAACTTTTTTGTAAGTAATGCACTTAAATTGTGTTGTTCCTACTATATTTTCATGTTTTAATCAGATTTGGCTATTTAAATTTAAAATATGATTTTAACATTCTCATTTGGGATTATCAAAATTTAAAAAATAAGAAAATTTTTGTGTAATTGTGCTGACACCACATACTTCCACACATGTGGAAGTATGAGGCTGGCACTACCTGACTTTATTTTACTTTTTAATGTATTTTACTTTGCACCTGTTTTAAAAATATCAATAAAATATTAGAAATATTCTCCAACAAACAAAACACAAAGTGCTTATTAAGCACTGCTTAAAGTACTTTGTGTTTTGTTTTGGGGTTGGGGAATTTTTCTAATATTTGTTTAACATATCACCAAAGTTTTACCTTTTCAAGGAAAAATATGTTAATTTTACAGATTTTTGTTTAGTTAGTTGATATAATAATAATAATTATGGTTATAATTTGGAAAATCAAAAATTTAAAATTAATATATTATTTGGTTATAAAAAGTGCCTAAAATGTGAACGTAATTTAATTTAATTTTTATTAATTATTAAAAATGTGATATGGCACCTTTATCCACTTATGTCTTTAATTCTTAAATCATATAGTTTTCATATTCTAAAATAAGCTAAATTATAAGGGTTTTCATATTCTAAAAGAGACTGTATCCTTTTTAAGTGGCATTTTTAAATGTGAGTTTTTATTCCTCAATGTATTACACAACATTTGTTTTTTAAATTAATATTTTTTAAGCTGCTAAAATTTAATTTTAACACTAACTTTTGACATTTTTAATTATGTTTTTTTCATTCTCAAGACTAAGATTTTTAAATAAGGTTTGACCTTTTAAAATGATTTCTTTTAATGTCTTTTCAACCTTTCTTTTATTAATCCAATCAAGCATAGTTTTGGTCTTTTGGCCCCTTTCTAGCAAAAAACAAATTTAATTTAAAATGTTAACAAAAATGTAAAATCTGTTGACTTTAGAAAAAAATGCAAATAAACGTCAAAGTCGAATCTCTAAAATTAAAATTTATTGAAGTCATTATTTTTTTAAACCAGAAAATTTTACAATTCATTCAGTTCATCCTCTCAGATTCTTATAAGTTACAGCTAAATAAATAGTTACAAATGCAAAATTAAAGTCATCAAAATTAAAAAATTGAGTAAAATGTCAAGATTTAATGGTTTTATAATTAAATAATATTTATACACTGCCCGTCAAAATTAACGCATAATAAAACTCTAAAACGCCTTTACCAATCTTTATAAAATTTTGGATAAAAATACTTTAACTTATATCTCAGTTTACGTGTTCAAGGGTTTTTCGAGAAAATATCCTTAAAGCCGTTTTATTTAATAATAAAAAAACGCTCAAAAAAACTTTTATAGGAATTTTTTTTAAGTAAATAAAAAATATACTGTGAAATACCGAATTTTTGTAAGTATACCCTGAAAATGTACAAATCAAACGAACAGTAACGAAAATACAGCGCTTCAAAGTCGTCAAAAATGACCACTTTTCAGCAAAATAATCAAAAAGGGGTCATTTTACCGACTGTTCGTTTGATTTGTACAAAATTTTCAGGGTATACTAACAAAAATACGGTCTTTAACAGCATATTTTTTATTTACTTAAAAAAAAATTTCCTAAAAAGTTTTTTTTGAGCGTTTTTTTATTATTTAATAAAAGGGCTTTAATAATATTTTTTCGAAAAACCCTCGAACACATAAACTGAGATATAATAAGTATTTTTATACAAAATTTCATAAAGATTAGTAAAGGCGTTTTAGAGTTAGAATTTTTTTACTTAGTATGCGTTAATTTTAACGCGCAGTGTATTAATAATGTTGTTTCCACTTAATTAATTTTTTAGGTGCCAAAACCAATTAAAATTTGTAAATTATTAAAAGAAAAAAATTTTGCAAAAATTTTAAAATTTGATTTTTTTGCAGAAAACACATTGGTAGCGCAAAAATACGAATATTTAAAACAACTACAATAAATCAAAATGTATAATTTCCTGTCCGCTGGACCCTAAATTAATTTATTTTACAAAACACAGTATGGGGTAGTTAAATTTTTTCTGACCTATACTTTTTATGGTTTTATTCAAGGCGTTTTGTAATTTTAAACATTTCTGTGAAATCGGAATTTCAATTGAGTTTACCGTTTTCGAGATATTTACAAAAAAAAATATCCTAATTACGTCACTAGGCTATTGACAACGTTGCCAGCTTTTTCTATGGTTGCCAGTGTGTTTAGTTTAAGATTCTTACGATAGATGGCGCCACGTTATAATATTTTAGTTTTAAAACCACTTGATCTATAATTTTAGTTGAGAAGAAGAAGAAGAATTGATTTTTTGACGTTTCTTTTTTTCGGGTTATGTTTTTTTTAATTTAGATTATTGAAAATCAATGTTATTGCTATGTTATTTGTAATTGATATTAGATAAGTGATTTATTAATAACGGACTCCAAAGCAGAGGAATCTTGTGGAATGGTTGGTTACATTGAACATGGAAGCTTTTAAACAAATAAAGTAAGTACCTATAATTATAATCATATTTTGTCGTAAATGCATTTCATTAGTATAATGCCTAGTTCTTTATATTCTTTTAGATATATCAAACAGTAATATGATACCTCGTAATAAGGAAGATAGGTACTTAATGAATTTGGTGACCATCTTTCACTCTACTGACAGTGACAGTATTTGTACATAACCTCTTTGGGTATTTTCTGACATAACCGAATGAAATCATTAACAAGACAACTTGACAACAGGGTAATTTTCAACCAATAGAAATCTTAGAATGTTGGCGAGGTTTGTGACGTCATAAAAATTTATATTTTTAGTAAATATCTTGAAAACGGTAATTGAAATTCTGATTTCACAGAAATGTTTAATGTTACAAAACGCCTTGAATAAAACCATAAAAAGTATAGGTCAGAAAAAATTTAACTACCCCATTGCTTACCTATTTCTAAATTCTGACGGTTTGAGCAGCAACAGTTGTATGATGAAAGCGCAAACTTGCGCCTCGCTGCCCTCTTGCGTTCTGAGCGCCAAACACAGAACCAATCTGTCAATGGTGAGGATGTTGTATTTCCAAATCATGTCGTTGATCGTGTCGACGCACTTGTTGACGTGCTGACCTCCGGGCGAGTTGCTGAACTCGTACACCAAGTTGTCGCAAAACTTTCGCAGATGCGCCGAAAGGGCTCTTGCACCTATACGTTCCAGAATCCTACAAAAATGTTCTAATAGTAGTTTAAATAGTATATTATGTATCAAGTTTGATAAACGCCATTTTATACACGAATTTAATTTATAAACGAGCGAGCTTGCGAGCGAGTGCTTAAATTAATGAGTGTATAGAAAAGTTTATAAACGAGGTGCATACTATACTTTTTCTACGACAAAAGCTTAATTTTCATGTATCCGTTTGTCCGTTATACGTTTGTACGTTTTTCAATAAAATCGTCCGATAAGAAATGTTCTAATTTTCATGTATCCGTTTTTTAATGACGTTTAACGGATTGATTTGGCGACAAAATAAAATTAAGGGTCAGTATATTCACCCATAATATACAAGTGGTATGATTATCATCGATGATATTTTCGAATTGAAACTGAGCTGCAGATTTCACAAGTCCGCAGGACTAGTGAAATGTGCTGCTTCGGTTTCAATGAGTAAATATTATCGATAATTAATCATACCACGAGTTATATTTAGTGAGAAAATACAATGAATTTTAGGATTTAACGAATTGTCAGTTTGACATTTAAAATTAAAATATGCTTTAAAATATAAAAAGACTTTAATAAACCTTATTTATTCAAACGTACCTTAATTTTATTATCGTTTACACCAACCCATCAATCTTTTAGAGTTTATAATTCAATATTTTAATCATTTAACAAACCCAGTATTTATAAATGTCAACAAATGTCAACAAATGTCAAATTAAGAAAAGTGTCAAAATCCTTAGCAACGTGTAAACAAGGTGATAAAAAATATTGTCGCTGTGATAAAATGCGTAACCATGGAATACGGACATTTTATTGGTTCTATCTATAATGAATTGTATTGTCACTTTACTAAATTTACCTAATGCTTAATTGTCATACCTAGTTACAATTATGGCAACAATTGTAACTTTAACAGTTAGCTGTCTTATAAATTTAAAGGTAGGTAAATATATCATATAAAAAGAATATACTAGCCTTAATTTACATTAAAATGTATAGTTTTAAAAAAGCAGCAGGTCCTTTTAGTTCTGGATTTAATATTTTATTGTTTGTCTTTTCTTTTTTTCTGTTATTATTAAATAAAAACATAAAAGTAGAACATTATTCACATAACGAACGTTATATTTCCGTTTTACAATCTTATTAAAAGAATATTAAAAGATTTGAAAATAAAGTATCTTAAAATAACGTTAGGCGTCAAAAACAGATGTGTAGTGACAGATTAGTTAAAATTATTTTAAATTTCTCCGTCAGACGTACGAAGTTAAAACTTGACGAAATTTTAGAATTATAATTGGACCAATAAGAGCGTTCCCGGATGAACGGACTAACGGACAAACGGATACATGAAAATTAAGCTTAATACTTAATATTATCTTAAAATGATTTAAATCAAAAATTTGTATAGAGCGCCATCTATGAAACGATAGGGGAATCTGTGTTACCGTCAAATGTCAAATTTTTCTGTGTTATAAAAGTTATAAATTGAAATATTTTCGTTGAAAATCAACAATTAACAAGAGTTTTTCTCAGTGAAAGTAAAGAAAATGTTTTATGAGCTCTTCAAGGTGGAGTCCGAGCTCGAATTTAAGTTATCCAGTTTACTTTTGGCGATATTGGCGTTGAGAAACTATTTAATGCTTATGTATTTTTGTATTGCGATAATAAAATAACTTTCACATTTAGTATTATTTTACAAGAAGGGCACTTTATTTTAACGATTGTATGACATTTGACAACTGTCAACTAACTTAAAGCTAACTTCAGCCCGTGACTAAAACGCCATAAAGCCACAACTTTTCAATGTGTATTTAAAAAGTCACAGTGTCATGGAAACATGTACGATAATGGACGTTTTAAAGGTGGAAGTAGAAAAACATGTTTTTTATAACTTACTTGTAAGCGATAGGGCTGATGTGATTGGTCTCTAGCAGCATCTTCCACAGCAGACACAAAAACAGGGGCGGAGCGCCGGCGCCCCCGAAATGGGCCATAATGTCGTTTTCGTTGTTCATCGAGGCCCATTTTCGGTTTTCCTCTTCCACAGCTTTCTTTAATTGCTGCTTGTTTTCCCTTGGTACTCCGTGTTGGGTGAAGAATTCAGCCAAAGCTCTACAAATAATTATACTCAGATTGCATATTTTTTTAAATGACTTTAAAGCAAAGTTTGGACAATATTTTTGCCGACATGTATTTATGGAGACCCAGGAAATTAGTTATTAGTGTTTAAAATATATATTTTTAAATTGACCGATGACACTCCGGAAACAGACTAATATTCCCGAATAGGCCCGTGACGTCACACTTTCGTAAACAAAAAAAAATTATAACTATAATATTAGAAATTGTCCTTAACCCTTATGCAGGCGCACCTCTTTATGCAACGTAGTAGGTCGCGCGGGGTGTCAGAGACACCCCTGATGGCAAAGCGTCCATGAGTGTTATTTACATTTTTTTTGTTTTTTTTTTCAAAATTATCAAGTTAAAATGAGCTTAGAGACAATGAGAACATATTTCGTTGCGTTCAAATTTGATAAAAGATGACAAAAAAAGAAAATGTCAAAAGACGACAATTTTAATAAAATAAAGCATTTATTTAAAAAACACAAATTTTAAAAGTCATAACAATAATAAAAACCAAAAAAAACACTAAGCACATAAGATAAGGTTTACTTTTACAAGTAATTATGATTTGGTAAAGAAAAGTCTATAAGGAGGCGAAACCCAGCCTGCTCAAAGTCACTCAATTTCGATACTAGAATTTACTATGAAATCAAAGCTTTCTTTACAAACATTTTTCTTGTGCTTTATGCACATGTTTTTGGCACACCTTCTACTTTTTGCAAAAAGGCATGCCTTGGACAAATTACACATCTGCCCTTCTTTACCGGCAACTGATAATTTGAAAATTATTGGGCAGAGAAATTTTGGCAAATTTTTATTTGTTGTTTACATAAAATATTAGAACGAACGGAAACAAGCAAAACATAACGCAATGCTTTCAAGATAAAAATAAATATTTTGTCGTGCGTTCCAATTACTTTTTTACAGGGTATAACCTTATTTAATGTGAAGTAATAACAAAAGTTGAAGAAATCAGCTTAACAAATTAATGCAAAATAATTGTACGTGGAAAGGCGCACGGGGTGTCCACAGCACCCAGAGCCTGTTTGAAACAAAATATCAGACAACCTATTACATTAACTTCGAAATCGGCAATATAATATGACTGACAATACTTTGACAGGAAGGTACTGAAAGTAAGCGCCATTTATTCGAAACGAAGTGAGACCGGTAGGTATATTTAGGAAGCTGGGGTGTTTTGTACACCCCGCGTGCCTGCTTAAGGGTTAAAAATCAAAAATATATTTTGTTTGACATTCAAATTAATTACTTAAATGTATAAAGATAGTAAATATTATTCATCTGGCAACATTGCTTTAAATCTTAAAGTTCTTGTCAAAAAATGTGTAATAGCATTTTTTGAATAAATTTCAAATAATTATTACGGAGCGAATTTAACAATAAAAATTATTATAAAATTATTAGTGTTGCAACGGTTACGGTTACGGTTAATTCACGGTTTTCGATATTATACGGTTAACCGTAACCGTATACGGCATTTACGGTTTTTCATGCTACTTTGTGAATGCATGTAAAAAGAAGATTGAAGAGTATTTAACGTTACCAAATATACCACATACGTTAAATCCGTTTACATTCTGGAAAACGTGTTACACGTTTCATACAAACCATTGTCAGTGAATTCGGAGAGGTTGTTTTCGACTGCAGGTCTTGTGCAAACACCGCAGAATTTGCAGATGTTATGTTTTTTAAATAAAAATTTGACTCGTAAATTTTGAATTTTAACTTTTAATTTTTTTATTTTTTTTTTAAATATATTATTCAGGTGCCTACTTAGGTTTTACTTTACTGTTTTTAGGTTTAAAATGTTACTCATTTCCAATTATTTTATAGTTTTATTAGAAATTCTGTTTTTGTTTTACATAAATTATTATTTAACCTTTACGGAACGTGTGTATTAATTTCATTTTGAACAATAAACTTTACTTTTCGTAATTCTGTAATTTTTTTGAATAACCGTGAATTTATTCGTAACCGTAGAGCTAACCGTAACCATAACCGTAACCGTAAAACCCGAAACCGTTGCATCACTAAAAATTATTGTAATTATGTTATTTATAAAGTAAAAAATGACCCACAATTAGAATGTATTTATTTTATTTATTTTATTTATTTTATTTATTTTATTTATTTTATTTATTTTATTTATTTTATTTATTTTATTTATTTTATTTATTTTATTTATTTTATTTATTTTATTTATTTTATTTATTTTATTTATTTTATTTATTTTATTTATTTTATTTATTTTATTTATTTTATTTATTTTATTTATTTTATTTATTTTATTTATTTTATTTATTTTATTTATTTTATTTATTTTATTTATTTTATTTATTTTATTTATTTTATTTATTTTATTTATTTTATTTATTTTATTTATTTTATTTATTTTATTTATTTTATTTATTTTATTTATTTTATTTATTTTATTTATTTTATTTATTTATTTTATTTATTTTATTTATTTTATTTATTTTATTTATTTTATTTATTTTATTTATTTTATTTATTTTATTTATTTTATTTATTTTATTTATTTTATTTATTTTATTTATTTTATTTATTTTATTTATTTTATTTATTTTATTTATTTTATTTATTTTATTTATTTTATTTATTTTATTTATTTTATTTATTTTATTTATTTTATTTATTATTTTATTTATTTCATTTATTTTATTTATGTAATTTATTTAGGGCCAATATATTTATTGTAAAAATTAAAAAAAACTAAAATAACTAAAGAACCGGACGGCCATTTCAAGCATACGGACGGGACAAATCACAAAACTGTTTTTATAAAAAAATGGAGGTAATTTATTATATAATATGTGGACATCAAAATTTTCAAAAATATTCCTTTTTAATTAGGCTAAACATTAAATTAAAAAAACGCAATAAATATTTAATAAAAGTAGAGATAAATTTAAAATTGACAGGTGTGGATGGGACAAGATAAATCTTTTTTTTTTGTCCCGCCCACACCTTTCAATTATTAAAATTATCTCTACTTTTATAAAATATTTCTTTTTTTCTTCTATTTTTCACAATTTTAATGCCAAAATATTATATAATAAATTACCTACAATTTTTTTTATAAAAACAGTTTTGTAATTCGTGCGATTCGCGCGCTTGAAATGGCCGCGGATACAAAATTCTAAAAAATCGTTTAAAATTATGAAAAAGTACTTAAACTTACCTGGGAAAGTATTCCAAAGTATGTGGGGCCCATGTGTGAGGGGTACTTTGCGCGATGGTGGCCAACAATTCGTGACACCACGAACCGTCCGCCCCTGTAACGTGCGTAGCTCTGGCCAGGGTTAAAACCAGGGTCCTATTTAATTCTTCGGATTCCGCAGAAACTAACGTTTTGGGGTCGGCCAGGAATCTAGATAATTCCGGCTGAACCTCTCCACTACCCAAACCTATGAAAAAAAAATATTACACCCTGTATATTATGCAGGTTATTTGTCTGTATACAAGGTTTATCAAAACTAACCTGCTTAAGACTTATTTTGGTTAAGTGGTGTAAGATATTTCACTGGCACTATAGATAATGTTCATTACCTGTTATGAGTCTTAAAGCTGTAGATTCGACGCACAAATGCAGCTGAGTTTGATTGGCTTGTGGTACCGCAGCTAGTGAGTGTAGGTGACTCAAAAGCTGCACTCTGTAGTGGGGGTGAATGTGATGCATTCTGTAGCTGAACATTTCCAAAAGAGTGTACAGAGTACCCCAGGCGTGAGATTTATAAACCTAAAATAAATCAATAAAATATAAACATTTGTAATTTTCTAAATAATGGATTTAAAAAAATAAGATTGAAGTAAACGTTTAGGAAAGTCTTTTGATGCCAATACTCTTAAAAAATTGACTAACAATTGAATACGTGAGATTTTAACAACAGTTAAATATTTTAACTATTTTATAAAATATAATAATAATAATAATAATAATAATAATAATAATAATAATAATAGTTTATTAGCATCATACATATAAATACATGTTTAGGCAGTCATAAAAAGGTACATAAGTATTTAAGAAATAAAAGTTGACTACGTGTTGAACAAACAAAATTATATACAAGTTTTAACATATTTTAAAAAGCAGTGAAAAATAAATGATGGTCTCGGAAAATGTCCTAAAATGTGCCTACTTTGCTTTATTTCATTCAAAAATGAGCTACGGAATTTTGGTTTGGGGACATTCCTCTCATAGCCAACGTATATTTGGACTCCAAAGAAAAGTTGTACGTATTCTAAAAAGGATAAACTATAGAGATGATTGCAAAGCTGCCTTTCGGGAGTTAGGAATTTTAACATTACCCTGTACATATATATTAAATTGTTTGTTATATGTTAGAAGTAATTTGCATTTGTTTAATACCCGAAGGCAAGAAAGTAGTGTCAATATGCGTAACTCTGGTGATATTCATTTAAATTTTCATAGACTTAACAGAAGCCGAAATGGCATAAATTATTATAGTCCAATGTTTTTTAATAAACTTCCACAGTCCACGTAAGAGATTTAAGTTTTAAACAATTCAAAGAGGTATTAAAATCATTTCTTTTAAAGCATAGTTTTTATTCCACGTCTGATTATCTTAATTATAATTTTAATTTGTTTTATGATTGATTGGGCACCGATTGTTTTAACTTGTTTTGTTATTTTAATTATGTATACCTACTTGTAAATGTTTTATTTATTTTTTTATTTTTCACTGCTTTTTAAAATATGTTAAATATAATATTCATATTCTGTAAAATGTATTTTGAACTTTAAAATTGATATTAGAAAATGACTTGTCAAAATTAAATTTTTTCAAACCGCAAATTTCGAGTGGAATTTCTGTATATTTTCTTTAAATAGGAATATATCGTGACCGGGTTATTCAACCGCAATAACGTTATTTGTATGAGAATGTCTACTTTAATATTTTGAATTTTCGTTTTTTTTTTGTCAAATACAATTATTTGGGGCGCCGAGTAAATAAATCACATCTGTAAGGGCGCTAGGAACAAAATAAGTTTGGGAACCCCCGAATGCTATAATTAGTGAAAGTGGGGGCGTGTGAACGTAACGTTGAGGGAATCATATTCGTGGCGTAGGAAATTGGTAGCTATGCATAAGTAAGACAGATAGAAATAAATTAATTCACAATCTCCTTGATATTGGTATCAAATGAAAGGGTTTGACAAGTAGAAAACGATAAGGTGGGGACATTTTTTGTAAATTTACAAAAATTTATAAATTCACAAAATTTTCCAAATATACAAAAATTTCAAGATTTTTAAACTTACAACATTCCCAAAATTTCAATTTGTTTATATTTTTTACAATAAACGCGTACCTGCCAAGACTATGGTTTTAAAATTTCCGGAAAAATTGAGACTGCGGAAAAAACGGAAAAATTGGTAAATTTTCAAAAAAATTAAAGCATTTTTTATTTTATTCAAAATGCAAAAGTCAATTTTTCTGAAAATTTCCAAATTTTTACCGATGATATCCTTCCACTGATATCGAGAAAAAAGTGAATTTCCGACTCTGATTATAATCATAATATTATGATTATAATAATTATTTATTTTATTTTAAGTAAGAATATTCTACCGGGCCGCAAAAAAGCATATTCGGTGCTGTATTAACATACAAACTTTCGTTTTATTTGACAGTTTATAAAATTATAATTTTGTAATTTAACTTTATAAATCATTCAATATTTTGTATTTGGATATTTTAAATAAACTTTTTTTGCAAAAGACTCAACCGACAGTATATTTAACGATTACGTTTATTTTCTTAAATCCATTTAAATTTAATTTAATAATTAGTTTTTTCTGTAATAAAGGATATTTTTTTAAATTAAAATAATGTTAAGTTGTTGATTACTACTTTTTTCAAATGTGAATATTTTCCAAAAAAAAATCAATTTTTCCCAAAAAAGGCAATTTTTCCGGGTTTCCCTAGTGTTTTAAAATTTTCGCTAAAATTCAGCAGGCGGAAATAAACCTATTTTTTTTGCAAGTGCGGATTTTTTTTTTAGAAAAATTTGTTTAAAAAAAAAGTTATGATTAAACTATTCATTTATAAATAACATCCTCCTTTTACTAAAATATGAAGTTCAATACAGGCCCGGGAAAAAAACGAAAAAAAAAACAGTTTTTTCGTTTTTTTTTACGCTTTATAACGCTAGCCAAGATACATTCTTTGTGATTTGAAATTTGGATTTTAAAAGTTTTTTTATAAATTTTTAATCTTGTCAAACTGACTTTTTAAAAAATAATATTAATTTTTAATGTGGAATGACATGTGTATATTCTTTAAAGTATTACAGAATGAATTATTCTATCATGGGATGACGGAATAAACACTGGTGTTTAATATCTAGAAATTTTAGACAAATCCAACCTCACTTTTTTTCCAAATAAATTATTTTTCTATGGTATTTTTTGGAAACGTAGAAAAAGTATAGTCTGAAACCCGTTTGGAATTGCATATTCCGAACTCGTGAAACCGTCAAACTCGCCTTCGACTCGTGTGACAAACCTTTTACTCGATCGGAATTCCAAACTTGTTACAGAATATACTATTTTCCGTCAAAAAACGATAAGGTGGGTAATTTTTTTTAAATTTCCAAAATTTTCCAAGTTAACAAAATTTCCAAAAATTTTAATTTGTTTATATTTTTCACACTAAACTTGTAGGTACCTGCCAAGACTGGTGTTTTAAAATTTAAGGCAGGGAAAAAAATATTTTATTTTGCAAGGTGCGAAAAAAATGTTTTCGAGTATGAGTATGAGTATGAGTATGGGAACGTATGGCAAGCCCCAGATATATTGTCATCCACTGATCTCCCGGGGTTATATTACCCCCTTTCCGTTCTCCTGCGTATCCCGCCAAATCACAGCATTACCTGTGTTTGTTGGATCCGAAGTTTTTACGCCGGCTGGTAGATCCACCCTAGGAGTTCGTGGATGACAGTGTCAAAGGTTAAGGCAGCTCCCGGGATTTTTGTCAGCCGGGTCGGGCCATACGTCCAGTTTAGGAAGGGTTTTTGGAGGACATTGAACTGACCCAAAACTAAGTACAATCCGGAATCCTCCTAAACCAGTGCTTTAGTAATAACCCCATTCATTTGGTGCGAAAAAAATGTTTTTGTTAAGAAAAAGAGAATTTTAAAAAAAGTACGAAGTACAAGTATTTATTCATAAATAATATAAAGAATGCTCCTTTTATTAAAATGTGTGTATTTTTTAAATTTACAAAAAAAATCAATTTAATCCCAAAAAAGACAATTTTTTTAAGGCCGGGGAAAAATCGAAAAAAAACAATTGTTTTCGTTTTTTTTCGACACTTTAAAACGCTAGACAATATATAATAGTTTTATTGCACGTTTTTTAAATTAGGAACATTTCCTATAAAAGTTTTAATAAATTGTTAATCTTCTCAAACTGACTCTTTGAAAAAGAAATTTACATTTTGACGTTTTAGTACTCAGGATTACTCAATTCCGCCACCAGGCGGCGCCATCAGAGATACTTAATATTAGTATTAGTATTTAATTAATAGTCTCAAACCTGCGGCAGCAGCTGGCTTATGAATCCCTTGATTCCGAGCGATTCGATCTCGGTGTAAACCAGCAATCTGCTGTACGTTTCCACCAGGGCCGGCGCAAGCGGCATTCCCGATTTAGTTTGGGCCAGTTTTATGACGTAGGTCACGATGCTGTGTATCAAACTCATCTTGGAATGCACGGTGAGGGAGTCCAAGACCGCCATGCTTAAGGGGGCCGTGGGGGGAGTTGCGCACTTCGAACTGCCCTGTATGGTCTCCACTAGCGCCGCCATGGGCTTACTAAAAAATAAAACAAATATTAGCTTCTTTTCGACGAAAATTAGTTTTTTATTCACGTAGTTCTTACCTAAAATAGTCCTGATTCGTTGAATAAGCATTACATAATAATGTTATTCTGTAATCATTTCCCATAGCTAGTGCTGCGTTATTAGGTGGCACCAAATGCTGTAGAAAATCGTGATGTAGTCGTAATTTTGCCGGAACTGTCCAAGATATGCTTGCCTGAAGCAAAATAAATTTTTAGGTGCACTAGAACGATATAATATTGACTTTTTTGAATGACAACATGTACTTACTTGTTCTAGTTGTGCCTTTTTAGTTAAATGTATCCAAATGCAAATCATGGCCATTTGCCGCGTGCACTGAGGTTGATTGTAGTCGGGCACCGGTAGAGGGCCTTCGTGTTCCGGGAACAACAGCTCGTAAAGATTCAAAACCGGCAAGAAATTCGACAGAGGGTTTCTCTGTATGGAACCGGAAATGAATTGAAGAAGCACCCACATTAGTTGGTCTCTTCCGCGACGGAGATCTCTACCTGAAGGAAAAATTAACCAGTTTTGGACACAAATAAAATCCAAAAATATCTTAAAATGATTTTTTTTAAATAATTGAAAAGGTTAACTAATAAGTTTGTGTTATGCAAAAAGGTGGTAACTAAGTAAATAATTAAGGTTGCCACATTTTTGCTTAGCACATACACATTTATCCATAAACACCTTGAATTGTTTATTAAAACAATCGCACAATAAATAAAGATTTTACAGTGGTGAGTCGCAAACAAATGGGTCACACTGTATATTAAAAACGTAATATGAAAAACTACTGTATACAAAATTTTACCCAAAAAACTCAAAATGATAATTTTAAATGTAAAGGTAATAAAAAACAAATTAAAATAACTTCTTCAATAAAAAATAGGGTTACAATACATAAAAAACAATATACTGCCCAACTATGGAGAAAGGCAGTAACTGCTAAACAAGAAATCTGTGGAAAATTGGCATAAACTAAATTTTTATAAAAAGCAGTGGATATTTAATTGATTTATTTAACGTAGTTTACTGCAATTCTTAGTTGAATTAAGATACAAAATGTCCATAGCTTTATCATAGCACAAGAAAAAGCATTAGGATTTTTTTTGTAGTTACTGCCTTTCTCCATAGTAGGGCAGTATACAGAGCTGCAACAAGTCAGTTTTAAAAAGACTTAAATCCTAAGTCTTAAGTCAATTCTAAAATCAAAATTATTTAAATCTTAAGTCAATTCTAAGATAAAGTTCAAATGATTTAAGTATTAAGTCTTTGAATTAAATCATTTTCTTTCAAGTCAAGTCATTTTCGCAAATTCTTAAATCAATATAAAGTGATTTAAGTCATCTTATGACTTAATTCCTTTAGTAAGTCGTTTTTATGACTATAATCGTAAAGAGTTAAGTCAATAAAATGACTTGAATCAAAAATTGTGATTTAAATCAAAATAATTACCCAATACAACGATTTTTTAAATGTTAATAATAAGTTTATGGTATTAATGATACTGATATTATTAATCTATTGTAGATACAGATGATAATAAACCACTATGTTAATAATTTTAAACAATTTATTTTCAGAAGACTTACAAACAAAATAAAAACTTAAAACACATTTTTTGAGTACCTAGTATAGTAGATAATCAAAATAAAAATTTAAACCACCTTTTTTAGTAGACTAGACATACAGGGAGGCTACTTTTTTATATTAGACCTAACTACGCACGCATAACACGACGAATGTTGGCAAACAAAATAACAAAATTATAAATCCTCACTTTTTTTCATTCATTTTAGACAGGAAATTTTTTAATGTAGCCGTCAAACGGTTCCGAAAAGCTAACTTTACCGCGGCGGTTTTTTTATTCACTAGAGGTTGCAATTGTAGGTAGGAAATTAAAGGAGTTTTTGATCTGCTGCCGCGTGAACCCCTGGCAGTTCAAAAATTACTTAAATATTTTCTAAAAAGACTTAAATCTTATAGACCAGTGCAGAAGCCTTTAAAAATGGTAAAAAGAGAAAAAAAATAACAGTAGGATGAAACCCATTGGAAAAGGAGGGGAATATAATAAAAATTAAAGGAAAAATAAATTACGGGCGATCTGAGTTCGGGAAGTGGGAGGGGGGGGGTTAAGGGTAAAAAATGGTTTATCTCGATTTCCGGCAAAACTACAAGTCCTATGGAAAAAAGTTAAATGGCAAAGTTGTAGGTAATAAAAGGATCTTTAACTTTTGTTATTACAATTTTTTTACATAACCTCAAAATTTATGTGAAAAATTCAAAAAACCAAGTTTTTGGTTTTTTATTTTTATCTTTAAAAAAAAAAAAAAATTTCCACGAAATTTGGTGAAAAAATTTGGTGAAAACTTTTATGTCCCAAATACACTGTAATTTATTTGATTTGAAATATTTATTATTTCGCCTTATTTTGACTTAATATCAAAAAAGCACCCTAATTTTCAATCGAAAATTCTCGCGTCAAAATATCAGCTTTTTTCAAAAAGTCGGTGTGCTTTTTGTTCGATGAACTCTCTACTTTCTGATGGAGTAAAAAAAAATACATTACTATGGTAAATGTTCTCAGAAAATACAAAAAATATTATAATGAATAACGTAGGTAATCAGAATGAAGTATCTAAATTCAATGGTATGATTTACATGTATTTTTATATTTTATGAGATTTTCTGACATAAATGTTATTAGAATTTAATAAATAAACTTTTTAACTAAAAAAAATTGCAACAATCACATTTTTTTGATGAAATTGTACATAATGATTAAAATAAATTTTCGAATTCGAGTTTTTTTCGTTATTCATTTTAATATTTTTTGCATTTTCTGAGAAAATTTACCATAGTAATGTATATTTTTTTTACACCATCAGAAAGTAGAGAGTTCATCGAACAAAAAGCACACCGACTTTTTGAAAAAAGCTGATATTTTGACGCGAGAATTTTCGATTGAAAATTAGGGTGCTTTTTTGATATTAAGTCAAAATAAGGCGAAATAATAAATATTTCAAATCAAATAAATTCCAGTGTATTTGGGACATAAAAGTTTTCACCAAATTTTTTCACCAAATTTCGTGGAAAATTTTTTTTTTTAAAGATAAAAATAAAAAACCAAAAACTTGGTTTTTTGAAATTTTCACATAAATTTTGAGGTTATGTAAAAAAATTGTAATAACAAAAGTTGAAGATCCTTTTATTACCTACAACTTTGCCATTTAACTTTTTTCCATAGGACTTGTAGTTTTGCCGGAAATCGAGATAAACCATTTTTTACCCTTAAACCCCCCCCTCCCACTTCCCGAAGTCAGATCGCCCGTAATTTATTTTTTCTTTTATTTTTATTATATTCTTCTCCTTTTCCAATGGGTTTCATCCTACTGTTATTTTTTTTGGTTTCAAAAATTAGCGACCCTGGTCTATTAGACCTAAATCTTTTTAAATTACTAAAATAATTTACCGACTTTTATAAAGACTTAAACCTTTTTTTGACTTAAATCGTTTCTATCTGACTTAAATCGTATGTACTGATTAAGCCTTGTATTAATGACTTAAGTTTTTTCTATTTTGAAAAAAATATTTAAGTCAAAAATCATTTTGAAAATTACTTAAATTTTAAGTCTTAAGTCAGTTTTAGAGAAATGACTTATTACCAAATGACTTAAGTCATTAAAAAGATTTAAATAAAAAAAAACGATTTAAGTTTTCTGAGAGCTTGCAGCTCTGGCAGTATACAACTTAATTAGTCTAAAATATTTGTAAGAATGTGTACTATATCTCTGGGCAGAAAATCGCTGATAATAAACCTATCGTTTGGCTCGACTATGGTTTCCAAATACCCAAACAAGTAAATTATTATAATTTGTTCAAACTGCTATAAATTATGCCAATAGTTTTATTTTAAGTATTTTAAATTTTAAACATTTTTTATAAGTTTTTTATAAATTTTTAATCTTGTTAAACTGACTATTCAAAAAATAAAATTTGGCCGTCAAAAAACAATATTTAAAAAAAAAGGTGGGTCAATTTTTAAATTTTTTAAAAAATATTCCAAATTAATACTTACACTAAACTTGTACCTGCCAAGACTGGTGTATTAAAATTTTCAAAAAAATTGAGCCAGGGAAAAAAGTATTTTTGTTTTTTGCAAGGTGCAGAAAAATTGGATTTAAAAAGTTATGAACCAAGTAAAAATTAGTTATTCATTTATAAATAGTATAAAAATGCTCCTTTGTCTGCATTTTTTAAATTTCCAAAAAAAATCAATTTTATCCCAAAAAACTCAAAATGATAATTTTAAATGTAAAAGTAATAAAAAACAAATTAAAATAACTTCTTTAATAAAAAATAGGCTTACAATACATAAAAAACAATATACAACTTAATTAGTCTAAAATATTTGTAGGAATGTGCACTATATCTCTGGGCAGATGATCACTGATAATAAACCTCCTATCATTTGGCTCGACTATGGTTTCCAAATACCCAAACCAGTAAATAACCAAACCGGGACCAAATCTATTCCAATAACTCAGATACTGATTGTTCATGTAGTCCCTGTGAGCCACCTCGTCCCCAAACAGTGCCTTACTTTCTATCCAGTTTATGACCAGGCCATTTATAGCCACTGGGACATCGAGTTTTACGTCTGGGGTTTTATCATAACCATACTTTCTTAGATCTTCCTCGTCGCGGAACGCCAAGCCTAATTCGACAACTTGTTTGTGCAGAATGATCTCATATTGTTGGCCAATTGACTGCTTCATAGTTTCCGATAAGGGGCTATATAGGTTGTCGTATAATGTGCATAGGAATACTTCATAGGCCAAATCCATGTCCGGTACTGTAGAAGTATTTCTCATGTAGGTGTTGACGTTAATATTTGGATCTTCACCGAGGTTTTCAAAGAACTTCTGCAGAATCAATTTAGCAACCAAACAGGGGGCCACATCAACCTCCTCTGATATTCTCACAATAATCCCGGGCAATTCTTGACTTTTAATCCCGTTTTTGTACATATCCCAGTATTTATTTCTAACATAGCTGGTCTTCAAGTGATTACATTTCATACGTTTTTGATATTCCAAAGATAAAATACTGTACAAGGTATCATGAGAAGCGCCTAAATTAAGCTGCTCCAGTTGGTGCAAACAATTACGCGACAGACCGCGGAAGTTTCGTATAAACTCCGTTATTTTCTTGTAAACTTCTACATTCATTTTGAGGTTAGGTGCCTCCATTTTGAGGTTAGGATAAACAAGCGTTGTTCCAAGCACAAAGTAATGTTTGAATCGTAAAAGAGTTGTTCTCGAGTAATTTTAGATGTTTAAATAAAAATTAACAAAAAACTTTAAAAAAATAATTTATCCCGCATATAAATTTTGGAAATTTTAAAAACAATAAAGAATTTATCTTCTTATATCGAATGCGAAGTAATTAACACGCAGTTTTTATAAGTGCGAGTGAAAGTTTGTGAATCATGGATTCTGAAGGCAATTTATAATGTATATGGAGAAAAATTAGCCATGGAAAATAAAAGGAAAATTTTAGGATTAAAATTCATCAAAAAAAATGTACATCTTTTGACTGAAAACCAGCTATTTACCCTCACAATGAAAGAAAGGAACAATAAACACAATCCCTAAACAAAACTTTGACCATACAAAGGTAAAAAACTACTGGCCCATTACACCAATTCCCAAATTGAGAATTCCAATATTGACAAGAACCTTGAAAAGTTTATTGCATACCTAATCCTTCAAAAAGTTTAAGAAAAGATTTGTATGGACCAGTTTGGATTTAAACAAGCCTCAATTCACCCTCTGATAATATTATCCAACAACATCCAAGCAACAAAAATTAAAGATTACAAAATCCACGCTCTATTGTTGGACATAAACAAAGCATTTGACAGAGTATTGCATAAAGGACCAAAAATTGAAGCTTAAAGCCTCATTCAGAACCTCGTAATTAGTGGAAAAAATTAGTGGTTTCAATTATACTTATAATTAACACAAAACGATGATTCACAATGCGCAAAATTTACATCTTAAATTAAGGGAATTTGCTAAAAGATTGTCAATTTTTCTTAACCTGACATAAACTATATTAGGTAATTATATTAAAATAATCACTGTGTCTAGTCTCACGCTAGCGTGAACGCAATTTTATTCTTATTCTCACGCGGTGACGTCACTAATGGTAATATAACCTAAGATTCTTTCAAGAATCTAATTTGTTCTGTGAATCTAATTTTCGCGGTTTTGAGGTTTTTTAAACGTTGGCAGGCGGTTTGGCCGATTTGTGAAATCTGCCCTGTTACAAGTGTACGTAAAATGTATTGTCATTGGCAAAAACAACAATAATGATGAGTTAAAACTAACTATTGGAAAATCGTTCATTTTGCCCATTTTAGTTGGGTTTTTTGCTCAATGGGGCAGGGGGGGGGCCCAATGGGGCGGGGTCGGTTGGGTTGTGTTGTTGAGTTTGGGTTGGTTTGGCTGCAGTAAAATATTCTCGATTTTATTATTAGTAAATTTTATTACATTTACATAATCAAATAAAATGACATAATCAAATCAAATGAAAACACCTAAAAAGTAAAATTAAATAAAATAATGCTGGCAGAATTATGTCCACTACACATGGGCTTTTTTTATTTTCGCCCCCCCCCTCAGTAGATGTCTAAAACCACCCCTGGGCAAAGTTGGCAGCCTTAGGTTTAACCAAAAACCAAAAGTAAACGAAGTAAACGTGAAAATAAAATTAAAATTATTTTGACGTGAGAATAAAAATTAAATTGCGTTCACGTTAGAGTGAGAATAAGAATAAAATTGCTTTCAAGCTAGCGTGAGACTAGACACAGCGTAAAGTTTAACCTGTGAACTTGTCCTAGTTTCATCTGAGTAAACAGAAAGAAAAAAACCGATGAAAAAATTAATTTTGTGGTTATGAAGTTTTTAAATTAGGTGCTAAATTTTCTAATCATTGATAATAGCTGGATGAGTAAATAAATACAAAAGAGTAGTAGAGCTTTAAGGGCATAAAACTTTTGTATTTATTGAGTTTTTATTTTTTTTTTCAAGAAAAATTTTTAGTAACAATTTTTTACAACTGGCAACGCGCAGCTACTTTGTTGGTTGGTATATCTATGTACTCACAGAACACAAGTGTGAACCACTGGCGTATCACAAAAAATATAAAAAACTTATTATGCATATTTTTTCTTTATCTTTGGGAAAATATTTTTTTAAATATTTTTTCCGTTACACCTTATGTCAAAAGGTATTCAGTATTTTAATATATTTCATTAATTACATAACACCCTGTATGGATACAATCTTAAAAATTTTGAAAATTGCCCCTCCCCCCACTAAAGGCCGTATTGCAGCCGGCAATTCTTCTTGCAGCAATTTTTCTTGCAGCAATTATTCTTGCCATCAAGTTTTATTATCTATGGGCCGTATTGCATTTTGTTTTACAGTCAGCAATGGCAAGACAACTTGCTGTTTATTACCGTGCTACCAACCGAAGAAAAATATACGATTTTGTAAACACTAAGTTTATTTGTTATTTAGTAGAGATACTAGTAGAGAACTAGGCATTATAATTATAATTATATATACTAATGAAATGCATTTACGACAAAATATGATTATAATTATAGGTACTTACTTACTTTATTTGTTTAAAAGCTCCAATGTTCAATGTAACCAACCATTCCACAAGATTCCTCTGCTTTGGATCCCGTTATCAATAATATAAATTACAAATAACATAACAATAGACCTATCCCATAAAACAGACTTTTGGATAGCGCGTGCCTGAAGAAGAGTGGTATCTCTTTCTCTTTTATATAATTAAAAAAAGACGACGTGCCTTTTCACGCACGCGCTATCCAAAAGTCCGTTTTATGGGATAGGTCTATAACATTGATTTTCAATAATCTAAATTTAAAAAAAACATAACCCGAAAAAAAGAAACGTCAAAAATTCAATTCTTCTTCTTCTTCTTAATTAAAATTATAGATCAAGTGGTTTTAAAACTAAAATATTATAACGTGGCGCCATCTATCGTAAGAATCTTAAACTAAACACACTGGCAACCATAGAAAAAGCTGGCAACGTTGTCAATAGCCTAGTGACGTAATTAGGAGATTTTTTTTTGTAAATATCTCGAAAACGGTAAACTCAATTGAAATTCCGATTTCACAGAAATGTTTAAAATTACAAAACGCCTTGAATAAAACCATAAAAAGTATAGGTCAGAAAAAATTTAACTACCCCATTGCAAGAGATTCGTCGAAAGGTCTCAACCGCGCATGCCTATGGCAATTTTCATTGCAACTGCCGGCTGTAATACGGCCTTAATAACTTTTCGGTGTCGAATTTTTGTTTGCAATGCGCGCGCAACTTCCGTTGCATGCTAAAATTTACTCCCAACGCGCCAAAGAAGCAAAACTTCAAAAACCTATATAGCAATTTACGTGTAAACGGTAATAAAAAAAAATGAAGCGTTAGACTGACTTACCTTGTAATCTGGAATGCAAGGCCATTACAATCTTGGGAAAGCTGGCAAACTGGAACAGCACAAAATAAATCAGCTGCGAGCTCAAATGCAGCCACAAGCCCTGGGTGGCCGATTCGTCGCCCTCAGCCTCAGTTCTTTCCAATGCCAGAATAACCAGCTCGACTAGTTGCTCTTCTAACGCGATGCATATTAATTTTTGCTGCTTCTGCAGGCCCAACATGCCGCACACCATGTCTCTGCTGTAGGGCTACGAAAAAGATCATTAGTTTGTGAGACATTTTTCTTGACTAAAACCCACTTGCTCTAGAACATAACGTAGCAGCCCTGTCTGCTTATTCAGGAGTTCTGGTTCGTAGGGTAAAGTGCCCTTTAGGGTAAATCTTAAGGTGCAGGGATCCAATTTCCATGGATTCACCATATGTTCCGGACATCCGGAATGTTCGACAACCGGACGCATATCAGCCTGACCTAGGAACAACCAAACACCAAAATTGAGGTTTACAAAACCGAAAGCAAGGTTATGGCAGTATACATAACCTCTAATTGTCAAATTTTGACGTTTACCTTACCTATTATTGAAACCATTTGAGCGCATGCTCTAAAACTTTCAACGTAATCTGAAAATAGGCCCGCCAGTCGCCAATGAGGGCAATCCGGGTAGGCTTTTTGTAATTCGTTGACCAATAGGTATCCAGGTATGAGACAAGCGTTCCTATCCATAATTTTTTCGGTGACTTCGAGTAAAGCCTTTACCAGAGGCTGTAGGCTTGTGTTAAGTTTGAGCGGTAGAATTTTTGCCTTTTCGCAACAACCCTATTAAACAAGAATTTAAGAAATATAATTATAAAATAACAAGGTAATTTAAAAAACAAAACTGCATTAAGAGTTTGAAAAATATACCTTTTTAGTATGAGCAGTATTTTCACATTGTTTTAAAGAATTAATGGTTAAATAGTTTTAAAAAGTCATCTTAAAGTCCTAGATAAAACCTGTTTTATCTAGGGTCCTGACAAATAAGCAGGACAATTACACAAAAATCAGGACACAAGAACTGCATGTCTTAAGAATGTCAATTAACATAAGCTAAATACAGTACTCCACAAAAGTTAAAAACATTTAAAATAAATATACCTACATAAAAATACAAAGAAAATAGTATACATATTATAGACCAGCTGAGCTCTACAATACAACAATATTGACATTGATATATTGTATGGATGTGTATATATATTATAATAATAATTTGACTTTTGAACTGCATACAAATATGTCTTTAGATAAACCAATATTAGAAATATTCCCAAACATGAAGCACTTTGTGTTTTCTTGTCTTTCCATTTCAAATCGACCAAGCAAAAAGGTGTAGGTCGTTACTTTTCTTTTTGCTTAAATTTGTTTTATTCATCCGTAGAAAATTTTTGAAAAATGGACAGAAACATTGATTTTTCAACTGACATTTTTTCTTCAAAATGCGATAACTTGGCCAAATATGTTTCGATCGTTACAACTTTTTTAAATAGTAGGTTAATGTTTACCCAAGTATACTTTTTACATCTTTTAAAAGTAACACAAGCAAAAATATTAAGAATTTACCTCGGAATTTACATTTTACAATAACACAATTTTTAAACCCTAATTACTCAAAATGGTGCGTAATTTTTGGAAACTATAATTATTTATATTATAATTTCGATTATAATCGAAATTACATTATTTGATTATTAATAAATAACAAATATATAATTAAGAAATTAGTCACCCTTAACGTAATATGTTTATCGCGCAGGTCTGACTCACCCATTTTTTGGGTTGTTTTTGTTGATAAGAAATAATTATAATCCCTTCAACGTAATCAAGCGTTTAGTTTTAATTTGGATTTTATGTGACGAACATGCTCATTTATTACTTTTATCTACATCAACAAATTGCTAGGTATTATTAGAATTCTAACGCATCTATTAGGTCAAATAATACTACGAATATTTTTGATATTTAAAAAAATAAAAAACAACATTTGCAGTCCTTAAATGGTCTAATTGTATTTTTTTAGGACCAACATGTTAAAGCCATAGCTATTAAGCCAATGGATATTAAGAAATAAGATAACCCTATATATAAGGATAATGGGATTTAACCAGAACTCGTCAATAAATTTGGCAAGTACCAATTTATTATTTTTAAATTTTTTGACTAAAATAAAAGTAGGTACCTATTTATTCGCTAATTTTTAAGTTTTTTTAACTAAATTTCTTCAAACTTTTATTTATAAAATCGCCTTTGATTTTAACCTTTAGAAAATTTAAATAGTTTTTTGTTGTTTAAAATCAATATACACTATTGGACAAAAGTAAAGCAACAACTGTATAAAAAATCTAACCCCAAAACGCCTTTATTAATCTTTAAGAAATTTTGGATAAAAATACTTGAACTTAAATCTCAGTTTACGTGTTTGAGGGTTTTTTAAAAAATATTTTTAAAGCCCATTTTTTTAATATTAAAAAAACCTTCGAAAAATAATTTTTACGAAATTTTTTTTTCAAGTAAATAAAAAATATACTGTTAAATACCGTATTTTTGTTAGTATACCCTGAAAATTTTGTACAAATCAAATGAACAGTAACGAAGATACAGCGATTCAAAGTATTTTTGGAGCAAAAGACACCATATTGGTACAAAATACAAGGCCTACTATGTCACTTTTTAGAGTAAATTTTTAAGAATTCATATTAGCGATTTTTTAAACAAAATCCAAGCACGGCACTGGATTCACCACCCCTCAAAACGACTCTTCAATGTTTTTTCATGGATAACTTGACAGAATAAAATTTTGTAGTTATTATTGTGCATTTTTCTACTTAAAATTTTTCAATACAATTTTATGTAGGGTCGATTTGAGGGGTGGAGAATCCAGTGCCGTGCTTAAATTTTGTTTACAAAAATCGCTAATATGAATTCTTAAAAATGTACTCTCAAAAACTGACATAGTAGGCCTTGTATTTTGTACAAATATGGCGTTTTTTGCTCCAAAAATACAGTTTATCAAGATCTACACTTTAAAACAAACCCGGTTAAAGTCGCACAATAAATAGAGATTTTACAGGGGTGAGTCGCAAACAAATGGGTCACACTGTATCTATAATTTTTGTGTTAAATATTTTCAACAAAAATATCAGCCATGGTTGCAATAAGTATAAAAAGTATACGTATAAAAATGATTCTTATTTAAGTTTTTATTTTCAAAACGTCTTTAGAAAATAACAAAAATTAAATTAAATTTTTAAACCCTAATAACTCAAAATGGTGCGTAATTTTTGGAAAACTGTATAATCGAAATTAGATTATTTGAGTATTAATAAAATAATAAATAACAAATATATCTATAATTAAAATTTGTCACCCTTAACGTAATATGTTTATCGCGCAAGTCTGACTCACCCTTTTTTTGTTTTTGCTGATAAAAATAATTATAATCCCTACAACGTAATCAACCATTTAGTTGTAATTTGGCTTTGATACGACAAACATGCTCATTAATTGCTTTGATCTACATCTATAGATGTATTTGTATACAAATTGCTAGGTACCTACCTATACGTATTATTAGAATTCTAACGCATCTATTATCTCAAATATTACTACGTTTTTTTTTATATTTAAAAAAATAAAAACATATAAGTTGCAGCCCTTAAATCGTCTAATTCTATTGTTTTCTAGGTTCAACATGTTATAGCATTAACCCATGGATAATAAGAACTAAGACAACCATATAAGGATAATACGATTTAACCAGAACTCATCAAGGAATTTGGCAAGTACCTACCAATTAATAAATTTTAATTTTTTTGACTAATTATCGAAATTTCTTTAAATATCTTTTCGTCGGTTCAAATATTGTTTAAGTTGGAGATAGAACTCATTCTTTATTTAAAGATAAGTTCTTTTAGTTCGTTTTTGTTAGGGGTCGTTAGTCAAATTTTCATTAGTTGGATATGGAACTTATTCTTTTTTAAAGATCAATTTTTTTTTGTTAGGGGTCGTAGGTCAAAACTTTTTTAGATTCTTTTTATTAGGGTAAATCTTGTTTAAGTTGGAGATTCTTTATTTAAAGATAAGTTCTTTTAGTTTATTTTTGTTAGGGGTCGTAAGTAAAATTGTTATTAGTTTTTTTTTAAGTTGGAGATGGAACTAATTCTTTATTTAAAGATAAGTTCTTTTAGTTCGTTTTTGTTAGGTCGTAAGTCAAATTTTCATTAGTTTCTTTAAGTTGGATATGAAACTTATTGTTTTTTTAAAGATCAGTTCTTATTCTTTTTTTTTTGTTACGGGTAGTAAGTCAAAACTTTTTTAGATTCTTTTTGTTGTTAGGGCAAATCTTGTTTAAGTTGGAGATGAAACTAATTCTTTATTTAAAGTTCTTTTAGTTTGTTTTTGTTAGGGGTCGTAAGTCAAATTGTCATTAGTTTTTTTTTAAGTTAAATATGGTACTTATTCTTTTTTAAAGATCAGTTCTTTTTTTTTCTTAGGGGTCAAATCAAAATTTTTTTAGATTCTTTTTGTCAGCGCAAATCTTGTTTAAGTTGGAGATAAAACTAATTCTTTATTTAAAGATAAGTTCTTTTAGTTCGTTTTTGTTAGGTCGTAAGTCAAATTGTCATTAGTTTCTTTAAGTTGGATATGAAACTTATTTTTTTTTAAAGATCAGTTCTTATTTTTTTTTTGTTAGGGGTCGTAAGTCAAAACTTTTTTAGATTCTTTTTGTTAGGGCAAATCTTGTGTAAGTTGGATATGGACCTAATTCTTTATTTAAATATAAGTTCTTTTTGTTCGTTTTTGTTAGGGGTCGTAAGTCAAATTTTTATTAGATTCTTTAAGTTGGAGATGGAACTTATTCTTTTTTAAAGATCAGTTCTTTTTTTTTTAGGGGTAGTAAGTCAAAACTTCTTTAGATTCTTTTTGTCAGTTCAAATCTTGTTCCTTGGTGATATGTTACCGAAACAAAACGTGCTTAAAGTACTTTTCGCCAACAATGTTGACATCTTCAGAAGCGAAGTGTAACTAAATCTAAATGCTAAATGTACCAAATTTATACTAATTATTATAGTTTACTAAACCCTGGACCGTCATCGCTTCAGTGAACACGTAAAGAGAAACTAACAAACTCTAGTTGGGTACCGGTCCGTTATCGATATTTAAACATTTATTTCTATTCTTATTGATGTATAAACTTTTATAACTATCTAGTAGGCATAAGTTTAAGGTTGCCAAATCCTATTCTATGACCATCATCAAGTATGTGTTGGGCAACACTCGATTTCTCTGTCCTATCAAATCTAGCACTTGGCCCATGCTAGATTTGGTAGTTCAGAGAAACCGAATGTTGCTCAACATCCGCTCGTTTTCTCTGTGCTACAAAATCTAGCACTTGGCCAATGCTAGATTTGGTAGGACAGAGAAATCGAGTATTGCCCAACCATATACTTGATGATGGTCAAAGAATAGAATTTGACAACCTTAAACTTATTAAGGAATTTAACTCAATGTTTATGAAATAATAGCACTTCTCTGCTTTTTTTTATTTTTATTAAGGAAGTTAAGAACCAAGTCTGCTAGATAGTTATGAAGGTTCATACGTCTATAAGAATAGAAATAAATCTTTGAATAACGATAACGGACCGGTACCCTAGTCTAGTTTGTTTACATTAGTTTGTTAGTTTTTCTTTACATGTTCACTGAAGCGATTACGGTCCAGTGTCCGTTTACGGTTCAGTCAACCTTAGCTTATAATTGGTATAAATATGGTAGTTTTAGCA